AGATACCTTTTGGTGCTGACTTTGCGTGTTTGTTTCTCTCTTTTCCGCGATCATCGGGTCCTTTGTTACCTTTCTTCTTGCGTTTGAAGCACACAGCACGAAGCGAAGAGGCCGTGTAGCTGGTTGGGCCGCTGTGAGTTGTGTTAGCCGCGCTTGATGGGGCGAGGATTCTGTGGCTTCGTCACACCACTCCTTGAGAATACGTACATGAGGGACCCGCTCCCATTTTTTTTGAAGGGCTCTGTGGAACGGGTTGAAGGATGGAATGTGTACAGCGAGCCGCCTCTGTGCAGCCACGGCAGTCAGAAACGGTACAAGTGCACGCATCCACGTGTTCTGTACCCCCGCTTACCGTACAAGCTGTCCACCGTTACGGAGGATCCCATTCCTGGCATGGAGCTGGATCTTCAACTGTTTCTTCGCTATCAACTGAACCATACCGACCGCCGCACCTGCCGCCTCCACCAGGACGTGAGCAGAGTGTTTACCGTTTTTATGGACCGCGTCTCCGCGAGGTGTTTGTGGAGACGGTGCCGCTGCGTTTTGGTGGCCGTATGACCGAGGCGTTGTCGTCAGCAGCGGCGCACGGTACGTGTGGTGTCAACGTGTACACGGAGGCCACTGGCGTCTTTGCGGACTTTCCTTGCGAGGAAGAAGGTGACCTTGCACTTGTTTATTCCACTGTTCCCTGGGTGAGGGAGGAGCTGCAAATCCCCTTTGGGGCCGGTGCTGAGGCTCCATCCCTGATTGTGGATGACGTGTTCATCAGCTGGGGATAGCCTTGGCCTATTGAGCCTGAACGAGTTGAGTGACATGGGCGCAGTGCACACGGAGGAGGTGTGGGATCCTCTCTTTGACTGGTATCTGCCTGTGTGAGTCCATGCTCCCCTATTCTGCATTGAAGAGGGTATGCGTGCCTGTTTTTGTATTTTTTTTCCTTTCTTTCCCTATCCTCACAAGCACGTCCTGCTGTTTCGACGTGGTGTAAGTCGGACGTGCCTGCGGGTTGGCTTTGGCCCGCTAGGCGTTGCTTTTTTTCCCCCTCACTGCCCTAGTGTGACTCGTTTTGGTTTCCGTGTGAGGCGCTCTGAGTTGTGAGTCGCCGGCGACGAAGTGGGCGCAGCGTCACGTTTAGCCGTCGGTGCGCCCGGGTTTTTGCGATTTCCCTTTCTGGCGCTTTCTGTCGGCGTGGCTTTTTTAGTGACTTCGTGTTGCGTGTTTTATTTGTTGGCACCCTTTTATTTGGGGTGGGGTGGGGGGTTACAATTGCATTTATTTTTTTTATTTTTTTAGAGAAAAAAAGCACAGCGGATTTGACAGAATCATGGTTCGCATGCAGGGTGTTGGTCATGGCAAATCTGCCTCGGCACTGCCGTACTGCCGCACGCCCCCGTCTTGGCTTAAGATCGCTAGCCGCGATGTGATTGACGCCGTCTGCAAGCTGGCAAAGAAGGGTCTCCCGCCCAGCCGTATCGGCATGCAGCTGCGTGACTCCATGGGTATTGCCCAGGTGAAGAACGTCACTGGCCGCAAGATTCTGCGCATCCTGAAACACAAGGGTATGGCGCCGGAGATTCCGGAGGATCTCTACTGCCTCATCAAGCGTGCCACGGAGATGCGGAAGCACTTGGAGCGCAACACGAAGGACAGGGACACGAAGTTCCGCCTCATTCTGGTCGAGTCCCGTATTCACCGCCTTGCCCGTTACTACAAGCGCGTGAAGCAGCTGCCTCCCACCTGGAAGTATGAGTCCAGCACGGCGTCTGCAATGGTGGCGTAATTTTCTCTGAACCGCTGTTTTTTTACTCGTTACATTTTGTTTTCTTTTGTAACTCATTTGAAAGGCAAAAAAATGTTTTTGAAAGACGAGTCTCAACAGAAGATGTCGGGGTGCTGTGGCAGTCATCTGGTTCTGTGTTTTTGCGGGGCTGTAGGGCTGTTACTGTATTTATTGTTTTTTTTTTTTTACCTCGGTGGGCCTTTTTTCGTTACTGGGGTTAATTAGTGCGCCCACGCGAAGAAGTTCAAGTTCGAAAGCGCAAAGGGGAAATATCACACGGTTGAGGGCCCTTACCATCTTTTCTTCTCATTGCAGCTGCTTCTACTGAGCTGTTGGGGTTCGCGGTGCCGCAGGATGGCCGCTAAGGGGTGTTTTATTGCGGTGCTTATTGCTCGCACGCACGACCATGTGCCTCTGTGCAGCTACACGGACGAGAACTACGCCAATTCAAACCAGATCCGGCAGCAGGAGCAACGCGTACTGGAGCGCATGGAGTCCCCTGCGGCCACAACGGACAGAGGTAGCGCCAAGGGAAGTTACTACCAAAGCTTTGACCACCGTGACTGCATCTATTTTGCTTTTCAGGATGCGGCAACAGATTTGACGATCATTACGGTTGTCAACAAGTTACTGCTGCGTAACTCGGGAGATGTTGGGGCAACGAATCGGCTTGCGTGTGGTTTGTTAGATCTCGTCTTTGCTGAATTCGTGCAGATGTACACTGTGAACGAGATTGCTGCTAGCAATGTTCGGCCTTTTCAGTTCATTAAGTTTGACACAACTCTGCAGAAGTTGATCCGTCAGGTACAGCTGGATAGGCAGAGCGAGAACGTTCTGGTTGGGGGGTCGGGCTCTGCCCAGCAGGGTGCAGGGCAGCGTCGGCAGGTGAATCCCCACTACGACGCTCTACGCCAGGAGCTCACGGATGTGCACTTTGTGATGCGGAAGAACCTCGAGGATCTTATGACGCGTGGGGAGAAGTTGGAGACGATGAACCAATTTAGTGCCCAACTGGTGGACCAGAGCTCGCGCTTCTACAAGAAGACGGTTCACATGAATCGGATGCGACTGCTACGGTTGTACGGCCCTCCCGCTGTGGTGGGCCTTATCCTTGTCATATTCTTCTATTTTTACCTGTTTTAGGTCTTCGGCTGCGGTGGATGGGCTGCGCACGAAAAATGCGGCACACCCACCAACGGCGGCGGGGATGGCGATAATGATGTGAGGGCACAAACAGCGAATGTAGAATGCGTGGCTGGCCGGGGCGTCCCACGGCAGAGTAGACGCATACTCACGTGCATAGAAAAGGGACTCGGGCCTGGTGAAAACAGAAAAAAAAAGGACAGAACCGACACGAAACGCAACAAAACTTTAACTGCCTTTGAAGCTCTGCCGGTACGGGTGGGAAGGCCAAAGCAAAAATAAAAAAATGCGTTTCATTTCTTGACTTTTTTTTTCTTATTTTGTTGATGTCTTTCTCTGCGGTGGTGACGGGGTGAGTCGGTGCCGTTTTGTGCGGATGCGCATTTTATTTACTTATTTTTCTGTGTGTAGACGTCCCATTGATTTCTTCTCTTGCGGCCTGCGGCTGCCTGACAATTCTTCCCGCCACATATTGCACGTTAACGCTCAAGAGTAAAGGTGGAAACAACAACGGCAAATTAAGAAGGAATTGGGCACATGGCAACGAAGGAGATTCAACTCCCACAGGCCCAACCTCGGGAGCGGGTGCTGCACCCGTGCGATGTCATTCAGCGTGGGACTTTTCAAAAGGAGAATTCGGAACGCCTTCACCGCATTCGCACCACGCTAGGCTGGGGTGCCGCGGCGGACACAGCCCTCACAGAGACAACGCTGCTCTCCACCCGTCGCCTCGGTGCGCTGCCTAGCAGCTTCGCGTTGTACCACCACTACCGCGGAACCGTGTCGGAGCTGACCCCAATGGACCTATACGGTCTGCCTGAAGACGACCCCAATGTGCAGCCATCCTCTCGCGCTATTGTGGAGAGATCCATTTATGGATACGAGCTGACGATGAAGAACCTGGGAATGTAGCTGCGTGTTGCTTTTGCTCGTGTCTTGCAAATGTTTTGTGTGCTTCGCAAGGTTCATATATATGCGTACAGTGTGCTTAATGAGCAAACCATTGTGTGGACTTATTGAGGCGATGAAGAGAGAAAAGGGGGTGCGAAACACTCACTAGCAATTTAAATATATATATATGAAAATATGAAAAGTGAAAAAACCAGACACCTGCTGTGGGACTTCTTGGTATTGATGCATTTCTTTCCGTGCTTGTCTGCTTGAGGGTTTTTTGAAGATTTTTCATTCTGTTTTTCTTTTTTGTTTCTGTAATTCCCACCGAATCTCGTGCTTCACCCCCCGGTGGTTGCGACTCTGCACGTCACAGGTGGCACATCATATCACTCAGCCAAAGCAGGAGGCGGAGGCTTGAGTAGGTAACAGCGGAGTTGGAAAGGAGTGCCATGTTTTTTTGTCCCTTCTGCGGTACGCTGCTGCTCATTGAGCCTCATCATCCAACCAACCGGTTTGTCTGCTCTGGCTGCACGTATGTGGCGCCTATCGTCTCCACGCAGCCGCTCACAGTGAACCACTCCCTGCTAAAGTTCAACAAGGCGGTAGAAGAGGACACCAACGTCAAGACGGAGGCGGAAACGTTAGATGCTGGCCAAGTCATTACTGTGAGATGCCAGAATGATGAGAAGACTTGTGATGGCACTCGGGCACATTATGTGCAGATACAAATGCGCTCCGCAGATGAGCCAGCGACAACATTCTTCAGGTGTTTGAAGTGTGGTTTTCAGTGGAAGCAGGATTAACATTCCCCAGTCTTCATTCTGCTGCCCAGTCGCTGCGCCAGGACTGGTGATCTTCACATTGTTGTTTCTTACGCGAAATGGTTAATACAGTGAGATGGGGGAAATGAGAAGAGTGGCGGCAGCGAGGGATGAAGGGAGGGAGCAGGCGGTAATATTAGTGGCCGTGGGTGGGTGCAACATTCGGTTGAAACGCATGCCCCTTCTTTTTGAGTGGGATATGCGTAACGATCTAGTTGCTTCCAGAAAACGTTTCTGGTAACGAAGAAGAGTGCGGGGGGCGAAGGGATAAAAGGCGGGAAAGAGCTCCGTCGCATTTCCTCCCATCAACATTTACGCATCTTTATATCTTCATTACAAAAAAAAAAACACTTCTAAATCCATACACGCACAGACGCACTTTTTTTTTTCTCTCTCTCTGTAGGCACGTACAGGGAGATTTGTTTCCTCTCTTTTAACTTTTTCTGGCTTTGCTCCTGTGCATGTGCGGTGTGTGTGTATTGTGCAATTCTTTGTGTGATTATTTTGATATCCTCACCTCCTTCTTTCTCTTTTATGTCGTTATTCAATTCACCTCACCTCACTTCATCTTTTTTTTTTGTTAAAATTTGTCTCGATGTGTGTGTGTCGTTGCGTTTTTCAGTGTTGATGCTGGCGGTGAGGTGCCTGGTACGGCTGTATGAGGTACCGGCCGAGTATGGCCAAATCTCAGCCCTTGACACGCACGGCAGCACCATCTTTGCTGGCACCGACCACGGCCTCCTCCTGAAGCTCACTGTGGAGGGCGCGTTGTCATCCGTTGCAGTACGGCAGGCGCAACAACCTCGTTACGGCAGCAGCGACAATGCAACCATAAACGGCCGTGCGTATGCCTCGGCCCCACCCAATGGGGCTTACACGCCTTTGTCTGCCTCTCCGGAGGCTTGCGAGAAAATTAACACCACACTCGTGCGCTTTACTCTACTATCAACGATGAAAATGAAAATTGATCGGGTTCAACATAGTCGCACGCATACTCTTCTCTTTGTATTGTACGAACATCGCCTTGTAGTGCTGAACTCGGTTAGCTTCTCTTGCCTTCAAACTATCGCGGAACATGTTGGAACCTTCTTTGTTTCGGATTCGCGGCAAAACAGTTCCCAACGTGCGGGACTGCATGTGATATGTGCATCCGAGTTGAATGGTAAGGGACTCAGCGTATTTGAGTTTGACGCGTCCCAAGGTGAAGGCGCACGGGCTATTCTTGCACAAGAGCTTGTACTTCCGGAACCCGTTCATGCCCTAGTCAGCTATGGCAGTATTGCTTGCGTTGGTATGCGGCGGGAGTACAGCCTTATTTCTCTTTCGGACGGGAGCTCCTGTGGTGTACTTCCTCTTGGTGGGGGGAAACAGCCGTTGTTGGCAATTGGTGACGGCGAGGTGTTTATGCGTTACAATTGTTCCATTTTTTCCGTTTCAATGCGCTCCATGCCGTCGGGGAGAGTTCTTGGGCGGACGATACAACTGAAGGACGAACCCCTTTCGTTTGTTGTTCGTCACCCGTTTCTTTTTGTGTTTACGGAGCACTACTGCGATGTTTTCTCGCTCTACGATAATGATGTGTCCGGAAGGTTGATGCTGCCTGGGTGTCTCTTTACCTCCCAGCTGGGGCGCGGCGATTTTGTCTACGCGGCCAGCAAGACAAAGATTTGGATGGCCAGCTTGCACTCCTTGCGTCAACAACTGGCAAATCTGGTCGAACACTTCAAGGTGGAGGAAGCCTTTCATTTGTTAGGAAGCCAGCGGGCAATGGGCACCTTGGACTTGCAGGGGATTGAATTGGAGCTACACATTATGGCGGGATACGCCTACCTACACCACTGCCGCCCGAAAGAGGCGATGCTGCACTTCAATGATCACATTGATCCGAGAGACTTATTACTGTCGCTGCTGGAGTGCATTCCACCTGGCCCCGAAGAGTACAGCCCTGAACTGCGGGCACTTCTGGCAAAGAAGCCGTTGAAAGCAGATGCCATTACGACTCCAGAGACGGAAGCTACAACTTCTTTGTCATGCGGAGTCGTATTCATGGGCGATGAACAGAGCCCGAAAACATCATCTGAAAGAGGAAAGAAACATGCCATGGAGGGTCATATTGATGCTGGCTATGAGGATAGCAATGGTGCGGAGGACAGCTACTGGGCTCAATGGGAGGGACTCTGTCCCTACAACACATATGCTGGTGAGCTGCATCATGCGTGGCTTGAGACGTTTGAGACCTTTCCGCTTGTGCCAAGGAGTGGTGACGACGCCAATGAACCCATCTACCGCCAGGTCACAGAGTGTGGTGCGGTCACCGCAACGACTTTTTTGGAACATGCATGGGAGCTATTTAAGGACGAAGTTACATTGTACTTTCGTTCGCGTTTAAGGCAGTCCTCGGATGTGTACGCGCGAGCGATGGAGTACGCCCTGCTGGTACTTGCTCTTGAGGCGCAAGATCATCGAGCGGCGTATCGAGTTGTCGCGTTTGGTTTATCGATTCGCTTGGAAGACTGTTATGACTTACTTTCTTCACTGCGGGAGTACCGCCTGTTGGCGTGTTTATTATTTCGCCGTGGATATGTGCGGGAGGCAAATGAGTTGCTGACGTTGCGCGTGCACGTCTCCAGCATTCTACCACCGCTTGAGAGTAAACCATTGGACGCTGCGAGAGCAACTTCTCCGGCGTACAAAATTTTACCCGAGGCGATGCACGTGCACTTGAACCGACTTTTAGCCCTTCCATTAACGTCACCCCACCAGAATACCGCACGGTCTCAAACTGGTGAAGGAAGTTCATTAAATGTGACCTCAACACCCACAACGCTGCCACCGTCGCTCACAGAGGTGATGTACCTGGTAAGCAAGCTCAATTTGGCGGCGCTGCGGGAGCTGCTCCAGGAGGACCCCGAGGCTTCATGGACCGTGGATGAAGAGGGCTGCTCATTGCTTCATGTACTTTTTGGCCTGCTCGTCTTGTTGGAGAGTTCCGACGAAGACATGACCTCTGAGGGTGGAGGTGCACTACTGAACCTTGTCCTATCGTGTGCGATATTGTTGTTGGATTATGGCACCCCGGTGTCGGTAGTGAGTGCACAGGGACTCAGTTGCCTGGACGTGGTTGCTCTTGTGACGGGTGATGCATTTCTAGATATTATTTTAGTAGCACTGCTGGCTGACAAGGAGGTGAAAGACATTGCTGCTGCTGTTGAGAAGGGCAATTCGATGCCGATAGTCTGAGGCTGCTAAAGATCCATGGACGTGTTTTACTTCTGCTGCTGCGTGTGGAGGTGAGGGGAGGAGGGAAGAAGGGGTGTCGCCAGTCATTGAAGTGTACTTCACTCATGTTTTCCTCACGTTTTTTGTGCATTTGTGTACATAACACAGGCATACCCACCCATAGAGAGAGAAAAACAGACAACTGCAGAAGCGTACGCACCATCATATCCCTTTCAACATTGTCTTTATTATGATTATTATTATTTGTTTTGTTTCTACTTTGGATATGGACTCAAGGAAAAGGGTTAGGCGGCAGTCGGCAGGCACATTTTAACTCACCTTCATGCCGTCCTTGACGCGTGGCCAGCGTCGTTTGCTGCAGTACGCAACGCATGACGGTGAAGCGGCGGGCTTGAAGCGAAGACGCACGGAAGATGTGGCACCTGTTTTGCGGCAACGCAAACAAAAATGGAGTCTTAATTTGAACACAGCCACGGCGTCAACAGAGGCACCACCGGATGACGTTCTACTCAACATTGAGGTGGTTGAATTTCTGCGGGAGTACTGCCCGAAGGCCCCCCGCAAGCTACGCCAGAAACAACTTCGTGTCATTCACGACCTCAGCGGCGCAAGTTGTCCTAACGGCGAAGCAGAGGAACATGAGACGTTTACCATAAAACGTATTGAGCTGAAGGGGGATGTCGGTGTCTTCGCTGTGGTGGCGCTCGCGGCGTTGCAAAGGCGCGCGCTGTGGAGTGGAGCCACCTTACATGCTGCTTCTCTGCTTGTTCTCGTAGAAACAGATGCGGATGCGGATGCGTTGGCGGCACACATGAAGAAGACGTATAAAATCACCCACGTGTTGGTGTTGGATGGCTCCCGTTTTCCGACTTTTCCGCTTCTTGAAAAGGAGTACAAGACGGTAGGGAAGACGCTGGCGGAACGCACGGCGGTGGTGATTGCGTCTTTGCAGGCTTTTACCACGGTGGATGCGCGGAGTGCGATTTGGAAGTTTGTTGGCGCCTACGTCATTTGGCTGAAGTCATCTTCCAAAGTGCCTACGTCACTGAAGGGGATGTCGAACGACGCAAGAAAGGAGCTCTACGAGAAAGTGTGCCGACAGCGGTGGGGCTGCCTGGGCCATGTCTCCCTGGCGGCCGTTATTGCCCCATCACGCGACTCTCTTATTGCTCCTCTGGCAGACGCCTTAACCACCTCCGTGCCCACCGAAGATGGAGCAGCGAAGCATAGTACTACAGTCAGTGACGATGTAGACACGGACGTGAGAAATAATAATACCGGCAGTAACACGAAGAAGGCGTCTGAGGAGAAGGGCAGTAACTCCATTGCTGCTATGCGACACCCTGTCACGGCACATTACGCCGTGGTGGAAGGCGCCCATCGTTTTCAGACACTCTACACTCTTTTGATGAACCTTCGCGAGGGGCAAGGCCTTGTTGTGCACTTTGCCACGAAGGAGGCCTGCCAATTTATGCATGACATACTGTATGCATTAGGAGAACTACCCTCCTCAGTGCTGCTGCTTACGGACTGTGAGGGTCCCAGCACGTATGCCTCTGTGCAAGACAAGGATGAGGATCGAGGGCGTCTTTGCGCCCAATTTGACAGGATCCTCTCGGAGGTCACTCACGAGGGTTCTTCTGCTAAGCACGAGAAGAATCGTGTGGTGCTTCTTTCAGCTTTTGGGCTTGTTCCGCAGCGGGGCACCATTTTTGTTCAATACGATCTCATGGTGGACCTCGTGAACTTTGCCCAGTTTGTGAGTGATGTGTTGACGCCAGCCGCCTACATTGTTGCGGCCGTGGAAACGATGAAGCGACGTCGCTCACGCACGCCACCGCCAAGCATGGATCGGAAAGCGTCTAAAGGAGGAGATGCCACGACTGCTTCACAGGCACTCCATCCCACCAAGGCGAGGTATGACAGCGTTTTGGTGTTTCTGCGCCGAAATGAACTGTCGTCCGCCCTGAATTACCTAAAACGCCCTGCAAAGCGACTAAATATTGTCTTTGAGCAAGTCTCCAAGCTTCCGTCGACCACATGCTTTTTATTGGCGCTGCAGAAGATGCGTTCATTGCATAAGAAGCAGTTTTCCGTGCAAAACGCTGCATACGCCGCATACCGTGCGACCATGCTACTTTATTCCCTCATAGGTCCCTCTGATGTCTACAATGAGGAGCGTGTGGACCTGGCAAAGGTGGCCGAAGAATTTGGCTACACGGAAGTGCCTGTTGTTGACCTCCGCACCCGTGACACGGCGTTTCGTCCGAAGGAAGACATCTTCCGTGCGGCGGCGGAGCGGGCGGTGGTGGAGCGTCGCAGAATGCGGGCATACGTGAAGGAGCACATCGTCGGTGAGGCCCCCGAGGAGCATATCGCCGACGATGTGATGGAGGGGGAGTAGTAGTGTCAAACACGCAGGGACGAAGAGAGAAGCAAAGGAGGAATCGCCAAGGGCGCGGAGGAAAATTAAACAGCCCTGGAACGGTAAACGTGTGAGGGCAGTAGCAGAGGAAGCAAAACGAATCCAAACAAAAAAAAAGGAGGTGCGAAGATGGGAGTCAATGGCGGACTACACTCAAGAGACATTTGTGGACGCACTTTTGGCTCTCACGAAGGCGCTCCGCTTTAAAAGTAACAAAAAAAACAAACAAACACACACACATTTAAGTGAAAAGAAACAAAAAAAATGAGGCGTAATTGTTGTTAATTGAAAATACCGTTTAAAATGTGGGATGACATTTCACAGGAGGAAGAAACGCATCGCCTCCATTATGGCGTCCGTTCTCTACTGTATGCGCATCTGTGTGTTCTTTTGTTTCGTATTCCTTCATTAGTCACTGTTTTTTTTTGTTTTTTCCTATGAGTGTGGGTGGTGTTTTTTTTTCTGGTTTTCTGTCCTTTTGGGGGATTCGCTCCTGCACGGTTGGACACCTTCGACGTGCCCATGACCGTCGACTGTTGACGCGTTTATATTGTTTTTTTTTTCCTTTTTTTTGGTTTTTTTCCTGCTTGCTGGGTTTCGCCGCACCCTCAACGTGTGTGTCTTTCCCACAATTATATATACCCGCGTGAAGTGTAAAACGTCTGTGGAATTTCTAACGAAGCGAAAATGCCGGCGCGACAGAACATGGGACACGAGCACGAGAGCGATGAGGAGGCGCCCACGGCGTTTCACAAGTACTTCAACACTAATTACTCCGAGGAGTTTATGAGGAAGCTTCCTGAGCGCCTTCAGCAGCGTGCGAAGGTTCTCATGCACTACCACGAGGAGTATGAAAAGCTGCGCAAGAGCTTTGAGGACAAGGAGACGGCACTGCGCCGCAACTACGACGAGGTGTTCCGTCCATTTTACGACCGCCGCAAGGAAATCGTTACCGGCGTCAACGAGCCGACCGATGAGGAGGTCGCAAAGGGATTCCCGAGCGAGCATGAGGGTTTGGTAGACATTAAGGTTGCAGCGGCGGATGATGAAAAGACTATCGCGGGTCTCCCTGGCTTCTGGCTTCGTGTGCTGCACAATCACGTGGTCTCCGATTCTTTGATTGAGGAATACGATGAACCGGTGCTCAAACACCTGATGGACGTACGATCGGGTGTGATGGATGGTGCATATGGCAGCTTTGCCGTCGCCTTTGTTTTTGAGCCCAACGAGTTCTTTCAGGAGGAGTCGCTTGTGTTGGGCGTCATGCACAAGGATGACGGTGTGAAGATCATCCGTTCTCCGCCCACGTGGAAGCCGGGTAAGGATGTGACGGTAGAAACTGTGCAAAAGAAGGTGGGTGGCAAACGTGGCAAGGGCGCCACGACTAAGACCATCACTGTCCCACGGGACTCCTTTTTCAACATCTTTAAGGAGCCCTCGAACACTGATGAAGATGACGACGACGAAGAAAGCATGGATGAGCAGGTTGAACACCTCTTGCACGTTTTGCACACCCGCATTGTTCCATGTGCCGTGAACTTTTATACAGGTGAGGCCCCAGACGGCAGCAGCGATCTAGATATGGATAGCGACGGCAGTGAAGACGAGGAGGACGAGGAGGAGGAAGAACCGGAGCCGCCCAGGGGCGGTCCAAAGGGACGTGGGGGCCGCGGCGGCAACAAACCCACTGACGCAGGGAAGGAGTGCAAGCAGCAGTGACACTATCCCTGTTGTTTCTTTTCAAACTACGCTACTTCTTTTTGACGTGGGCCTTTGTTTGCGTATGCGGCGCCGTGGGAATGAGACCGCCACACATGTTGTTTTCCTGCGCCGCCAAACACTCTCCACTGCTCCGCAACGGACCAGCTGCTGAGAAACGGACACCACCGGCCCAAGGAGGCGGCGTGAAAAAAAATTAAAAAAGCGCGGATGAAGAGGTGAGGGGGTGGTGGGTGCGCACACGCACCGAGTGGGCTAAACTTAAGCAAACCGATTAACCCAGCCGTGCCTCCAAAAAGTAAAACAATAAAAAAGTGAAGGTCACAGCTCGCAAAGGAGGGGGAGCCACGAGAGCGAAACAAAGTGAGTATTTGAGAAACGCAGGGAAGAACGGGGGACCAACGTAAGTGAAACGACAAGGATGAATTTAAATTAAGACAGGCCCACACAGGACTTGTTTGCGCATGCGCGCTCCTGTGATAAATGAAGGAAAAATGGCAACAATAAGACACTTTATTAGCTGACGTAGGCGCGCACACACACAAAGACAGACATACTTTTCCGCAAATCCGACATCACACACACCGATAGGAAGACTTGACGAGCGTAAAATGTGTTTGTGTGAAGCAGCAAAGTGAAGAAGAAGCAAATAGCAGCAAGAAAACAGGAAAATAGATATGCAGAATGCAGAAAGGAGAGAGAGAAAAGATCAACAGTAAATGAAAGGATAAAAAAGGCACGTGAAAACCAAATGAATTGTTAATGTACTCCTTTTTATTTATTCTTTTTTTGGTTTGCCTCTCGCTTTCCTGATGTTTCTGTTGTGGTGCACGGAACTTGGTAGCATTATGTGTTTCCGCTGAGCTCTCGCTGTTGTGCTTGCTAAACGTGTTTTTGGCGTCAATTGTGCCCCAAGCTACAAAGGGGGCATATATATATAGTTTATGATTACCGCAACCTTCTGGCTGTTTCCACATCATTGTCAGCAAGCGATGATTGCTGTTCTGTGGGTTTCTTGTTTTATTTGTTTTTTTTTCTTTTATTATTGTTATTAATTATTATGTCATCTTTTTTTCCCCGTCTTCTTTGTGTCTGTGTGTGCGTGTGTGTTTGCAACACCTACTGGGTCCATTGCTATAAATAGCCATCCCCCTTCCTTTGCCGGAGAAGATTATAAGGGAACCTGAATTTTTCCTTCTTCTTGCACCAACAGGGACGCTGGCCTTACCTGGGTTGGTTTTTGCTGCGGGGAAGAAGGATGCCAATGGGCAATGAGGATCAGACATTGTCTGCACGCCTCTGTTCTCTACCGGCCACGGAGCACGCCATTCTTCTTAACCGCTTCAAGTTTTTAGACCTTGTCCAGCGCGTGGCTGCGGCAGACGTAGCGGAGATGGTGCAGACAATTGGCCTGGAGGCACTTTCATACAAGGGGACACTGGAGAAGATTTCACCTTTATGTGTAGCTGCGGCCGATGTGAAGAGGCCGACACCGTTGGAACGGCCTACTCGCCGTGGTGCGTTGCCGCCGCAGCGTGGGCATACGCGGGATGCAAATGTCTCAACTGAATCTGCTTCGCGACAACGGCATCGTTTTTATACTCGCGATGAGGAATTGCATTTCGTCAAGCGACTGTCGCAACCGCAAAAGAATCGTGATCCCCTTGACTTTCAGCTGCGTAAACCTCCGCGTGGTCAGCAGGAAGAAGGGATCAGGTACACCCGCGGAAAGTCATCATCTCCGCAGTTCAGCGGAGGGTACGACATGGTAGCTGCTGGTGAGTCTCGTCACGGGAAAAACAGCGGTAGGCGTCATGGTTACACTGACAACGACTACAACGACGATGATGACGTGGTTATTGCCTCGAGCGATGACAGGTGGGCATTGACTGGGGATCCACTCAAGGTGCGGTTTATCACCCACATGCCTATTAAAGAGGACCGGCCTCTGCCAATACTGACGCAGCATCAACCTTTAGAACAGCCCGCCAGAGAACCGAGCTTCCGTGAGGTGTCTCCCGACAATCACCGGAGAGGGATTTCGTCTGGGCCCGAAGGAAGATCCAGGACGGCAGAAGGACAAGGAACAACCAACGATAATGGGGGTGACAGGACGCAAAACGAGTCTGAGGCAAAATCAAAGATGGAGCTAAAGCAGCAAGAGCAACCGACAGACGCCTCGCATAGCCCACTTATGGAAATTGCAACCCCGCGCACAATGCAGAGCTCTGTCACGCGGTATCGGGGACATTTTGCACCAAAAGCAAAACCGAAGGCGGCGGCGGAAGTGCCTCGGGTTCCGATGGAGGTGATACGTCATGCCTCCGCATTGTTGATGGGTAGAAATGTGGCACCAGCACCTGCACATCCTCCCAATTCTTCAGCTGGGCCACAGGAGCCGCAACAGCCGCCACCTGCCTCGACACACAGTGTGTCCTGGGATACGCAGAGTCCTAAGTTTCCTTCAGGGACGTCGCAATCCCTTATGCAAAATTCTTCAGTGCGGCGTGGTGTCAGAAAAGGAGAGTTAGAAGCTCAGACTGGGCAGACGCCAATTTTGGAAACAACAAAAGCTCTTTCCGACGAGGCGCTCGCAGAACTTACTTCTGCCGTCGAACGTATGCTGCAGGATCACCGGGCCGTGCTGGATGGAATTCTGAAGGATAAAGGAAATTCATCCTCCGAAGTTGCTACTCCCACTGACAACAAGAAAAAGGGTGGGCATGAAGTTTATACCGGTGTGACAGGTGATAATGTGGGTGGAAGGGCTTCAAAGATGGGGGGGAAACGTGGACGATTAAGTGCTACTCCTACGACTGAAGAGTCTGCCCGCATAGTGCAGCAAGCTCACGACGCCTTGGAGGATCTTGACGATGAAGAGGACGAATTGTTGTTGGTAAGCCGGATCCAGCGTCATGTGGGTGCGATGGATCGCGAGCTGGGGATTATAGAGCAGCGTGAGCAGCAACAATATGGATTGAGCGGGGAAGGAAAGGAGGGCCTTGAAGATGACAAAAGTGAAAGATCCTTGCGCCCGAGGGAATCTCTCAAACACGATGGTCGCCGCGTTGTGAATGATGATTTCAATAGAGCAGTACCGGGAGGCGTTGCAGACCGCGGACGTCGGCGTTGTCGTCGTTGCGGTGAAATTCCACGTGCCATTGTAGAGCGTCTGCGGTCATTTCAGAAGGAGAATCATGAGTATATACGGTACACGGAGAAGCAGTGGAATACATCTCACGTGACGGAACAAACATTTGCGCAGCGACTCACTGAGACACTTGCCGAAGATGCATTCCAAGAGGTGTTTCAGGAAGTTGGCAGCATCCTTGACACATACGTTGAGGGTCTGGTGCTGCATGAGCTGCAGTGATTTTTCTCTCGCTTGCTTTGACGTTTATGGATGCGTTGGGTTTCTACCTTATCTGCCAGTGTATAATGCTATCCCGAAGGCGAATACGGAAAAATTGTTTTGATGCCTCCTCCTCCTCCTCTTACTATACTAGTCAACTATGCGGCCCTCTGTGTCCTTTCTTCCGTTGCCCTCTATATGACCCGCGCCCCTGCTTTCTTCTTCTTGCCTCAATCTGGTTGCTTGTATTATTCTATATTGAACCGAAACCACACATTCACACAAGCACGCACGAGGCCACAGTACAAAAAGGGTACTGGGTGTCGGAGATAGTGCTGGGGCCGGAGCTATCACTTTGCTGGGAGGATAACTTTTCTCCAAAGAAAGACGTGGAAGAAAAAAAAAAAAGAATTGCGTGGGACCTGGGTCCAACGTGTAACGTTTCTTCTTATATCTTTTTTTTTCTTTGAGTTTACATCTTTTGCTGCTTCTGGCAGGCGCTGGACGTCATTTTGTCGGAACGGCGTGCTTAGTTCAATGGCATCTCATGCGCTGGCAGAGGTGCAACGGGAGCACGAGTTCATGCAGACCGCAGATGCAGTGAATAAATTTATCATCTCAACAACGCAGTTTTTGAACCGGTTTGCGGCCCAGTGCGACAACCAACTCTTTGAGGTTTCGCGCTCGCTGCAGCGCCTGGAGATTCTCACACTGCTGCTAGAAAACAAACTTAACAGTGTTGACGATGACCTTGACGAAATGGTCACGGCGTTACCGACGTTATCGGCAGCTGCCCTCTCTCAAACGGCGGCGGCTGGGGTCAGCAACTCCTACCCCTTAGCCATTGTGGATTGCCCGGCTCCACCACCCATGCCGGGTCTTTTGTCGTCATTTGGTAGCCATCAACATCCACCACCGCCGCCACCGCCGCAACGCAACGGTCCCCCTCCACCGCCTGGGGCAGTTTCTTTATCCCGTACAAATGTTACAACAGCTGCGCCGCTTCAACCTCTGCCCCCTGTTGCTCCTTCCATGCTGCCGCCTGCTTTGCCAGTTCAACTCCAAGCAGGACTTGCACTCCCACCGCCTCCCCCAATGCCTCTTTTGGGTGGCTACACAATGTGTACGCATCCTCGCTTGCAAGGGTATTTCCAGATGTTGGCGTTGCGTGTTCCAATTGCATCGGTAAAGGCAAAAATGCAGATGGACGGTCACAAACCAGAGTGGCTGGACACTCCAGATGCAGTGGCACCAACCACGATACCTCTCATGAACAGTGCTCTGTACGATTCGGATTGATTGCGTGGCGTCTGCAATTCGAATAGTTTTAAACGACGAAGAGTGTTAGACATCAGAAGTAGCGTTTTACGTTGGTGTGGGCAAATGATGAAAATACGAAGAAAAGGGGAAGCTGCACTCTAACGGAAACTAGTAAAGAAATATTTTTTTAACCTTAAATTGACGTGAAAAGCTGTTTTTCTTTTTTTTTGTTTCTTTTCACTGTTAGCAGAAGGGGGCAATAGCGGTGGAGTTGGGAGGTGATAGGATTTGCTGTTATACGTGTTGGCTTCTCTCCGTGTAGCAGGAGGACAAGAAGAAGAACAAGAGTTGTTGCCGTCATACTGGAGGAGGACGATGCCGCGAGGAAGTGGATTTGTACACCTTAACACCCCAGCTGCGATTTCGTATTCGCCCGGTGAGCAAGTCTCCATTTCCGAGCTCCGCCACGCACGTCGACGGGAGGATTGTGTCGTGCTGCCTCACACCGTCGGAGTTTGGCGGGCAGCGTTTCGAAGTTACGTGAGGGCTGAGGGGTTGTCTCAGTTTGTTGGGGACATTGAGGCGGAGAGGGAGGGTGAGGGGCCAATTCTACCTCCGTTGAGGGCGCCACCCCCGGTCTTGGCGTTGAAGCGTCAGACGCCGCAAGAGCGTGTGCCCCAGCAGAGGGTAGTGACTCACGATGGGGGAGCCGATGCTGCTGGGCTGCGTTCCTCGTCTGCGAAGGGCATCATGATCGTGTCACGGCATAAACTTACTGGCGAGCAACGTTTTGTGTATCCTGACCACGACGGTGTGCTTTCCTCCGGGATTGTGCCACAGGTTGTCATCTCTGAAGAAGAAAAAACAGAGCTTGAGGCCGATCAAAAACATTACGTTTCACCGCAGGACCTCCCAGAGGAGGAACGTGCGGCGCTGGAGGAGCTGCAGAGTTTGTGGAAGAGCCGCGCCAACAGTCGTAGCGAACAGGGGGCGAGACACCGCGCGGCTGTTGGCACTGCCATGCCTGACTTGAGCCTTGTTGAAGAAGTCGAGGGGCATGAAGATGACAGGCACGCCAAGCGGACCCGACCGGAGTCACGCACGCACAAGACCGATGCAACTGTAAGCTCAGAGTGTAATACAGGTGACATGCTAGACGACGCCTTGCGCTTGGCCGGGGAGATATTAAGTCTTAGCTAAGCACACTCTTGGTGTGGGCAGGAAAAGAATGGGACCACTTTGTCATGTTGGTTGCTTTTTTGTCGTTTTGATGGGTTTTTAAAGTTTTTTTTTCTTCACCGTTTTGTGTTTTGTTGTTTGTTAGCCTTGACGTTTCCACTACTTTTGTTTCTTCACATTTTCCTTCTTGACACTCCCAGAACGGCAAACTTGACGCGAAGTAAAAATAACACGCAACAAAAGCGGTGGGAACCGCCTTCGGAATTAAAGAGATCACATTTTTTTTTTCCGTTTGTCTAGAAGGGGGGTAAGCGGTTCGACTTTGGAGGCCCGTGATAGTGCTTTGCTGTGCATCGCCACCACCGAGCAGACAAGAGACGCATTGGGGAATCCATTTTTATTTAAAAAAAACGAAGTATATATTTTCATTTTCGAGGATGCATCGTCGTCTGACTGCCTGCTGCAGTGCGAATGGCGTACGCGGGGCCTGGAGGAGTGCTGTACGCAAATGCACCTCCCAGACGGCGGAGGGTGCTGCAGGCTCTCAGATTGGCGAGAAGGCAGCTGGAAAATTCAAACCTGCCTCCACGTCAACTGGACCTCAGCGAAAAGATTGGCGCACACACAAGGAGGTTGTCTATGTCAAGGGAGTTCCAATGAAGGGGAGTCTTTTTAAGCTTCCACTGAAGGAACAAATCCTCATCTGCATCATCTTTTCCATTACAGGGAGTGCGGCAGTCCTGTTTGTGCGTCCCTTTATTCGTTCCCTTGTGAAGGATGGATTTCTGGGACTTCCGGAAGATAGTGGATGGGTGAATGGCCCGTGGCTTTATCGTTTTTTATACCTCGCCATCATGTACCCTGCCTACTCCATGATGCTTTTTATTATTGGCTCTATTTTTGGCCGGCGTGTGTGGTTCTCGTTCATGATTCATAAAATGTGGTCGCGTGTAATGACAAAGAAAGCGGGGAAAAGGCTTGAACACCTGTTGGACCTGCAACACTATTGAAACTGCGACAGAGACAAATAGGAATGTTGGTGAGTTTGCGTGTGAGCGTGTCTGTTAGTTTCTTCTTGCCCTTTTTGTTTTTGCGGTTGCACTTGTTGAAGCCGTCCTCTGCTTCTCTCGCGCGTTCCTGAAAGAGGGACTAGAAACGCTTTTTTTTTTTATGTTTTACACTGCTCTTAAACGACGTTTGATTTTTTTGCTCTGGGTTTAGTGGGACGGTGTATTTAATAACAACAAAGAAAATATTATTATTATTATTATTACTATTATTGTTCTTTTTATTTCCGTTTTTTTTTTTTTTGAACGCGTGGCGCGTCGTGCGTGTTTGTGAGGATACAACGACTCTCCGCTGCCGATCTTCACATTCCTCGACTTTTGCGCGGAACACACGCCTACACGCAGGCTGAGAGAAGGCACTCAATAACGAAAAGCAAGGGGTCAAAGAAACGAGGGTGAAAGGCACACACACACGTAGGAGGAGGCGGTGATGAGTGCGTTACAGGGTGCAGCAAATATCTTCGGCCGTGGCACCGCTGCTGGTGATGCCATCTACCGCTGCTACGCGCGACCAATGAAGGAAAGTACACTTGACCCGGAGCTTCTCGCAAGGCTGCAAAAGATGCGGGCAGATCGGGAGGCGGCGGAGGCGGCGATGTTGCAGCCAAAGCCCGTGCCAAAGTCGAAGGCGATGATTAATCGTCCCCGTGTGGGTTTGGGTCAGCGCATGACGGAGGAGGAGATCGCAAAGAGACGCCTTGCGGCGCTTCCTCGCAAGAAGCGGGAGGAACACATTCAGCGGGAGTTGCGGGCGCGCCGTCCGCCATCGCCGCCGGCGTACGCGCGCCCCCCCCATCACCTTGGCGGAAAAGGAGCGTCTTGGGCAGATATTTCAGTTTGGAGAGCAGCCGGCCAAGCCGACGGAGTTCACAGGAGCAAATCGGGTACGGTACGCCCTGATAGATCAACGCTTCCGACTCAAGGATCGCTTTGATACGCTGCAAAAGCAGTTCAAATCGCTGCGTGAGGAACTGCGCAAGGTGCAAGAAGAGCCGCACGATTCCACGGCACCCGAGACATCCAGCGATGTAAAAGACACTGCAAATATGGACATTGCGTCTGTGGAGAAGATTGGACAACGCTTCCACAGGCGTGACACACACAAGTTGTTGGAGCGGCGAATATTGGAGAAGAGGCTGGCGGAGTCCATCGAGGACGTTGTGCGGGAGATGAAGCTCATAGATGCTGACCTGCGACAGTTGGACGAGAATGAAGCAAATCAGCATAATCTGGAGCTGTGAGTGTCCGCCACGGGGGAGGCAGGAACTAGAAGGTACGCCGTGCTTCACCACTTCGAGGAGTGGGCGCTGATTGCAACTGGGAAGAACGACAAAGATGGGTGGTTTAACGAACCCAGTCAGCAGAGGAAAACAAAACAAAAGAACAAAAAAAAAGATGCTAAAAAAGTTTTTTTTTGTTTTGTTCAGCATTGTGGTGCGATGCGCCGCTGGGCTTGCAGTTGTTGCTGTTGTTTTTTTTCTTCACGACTTTGTTCTTGTGTGCCCCGGGCTGTAACGAGAGTGACGCGGATAGAACATGGATCTACAGTGCGATGTCCCCGTGAGGTGCCTGAAGGCAAAGTTGAAATGAGGCGAATGTGAATATCTTTTCATAGGTGTGCTTTTTGCGCTTTCTAAAAATTATTTCGTCCTGGGGGGTTTGATGTGCGTGACTCAACGTGGTGATCCCTGACTATTTAAGGACCTTTTGCTTTTGTGTCGTACTCCTTTTTTTTTTTTGGGGGGGGGGGTTTGTTTTGTTTTGCCACTTGCAACAACAACAACATAATATAAGGTAAGAAAGGCGGTCAGCCTTTGAGACGCAGAGAGTAGGGGGTGGATGAAGGACGGCCCGCAGCGCCGATAGAGTAGATCTTTTCTCCCTTCTCTTTACCGGATTCGTGCATGGAATGCTGCCCACCTCCCTGAATGATGCTCACGTAGCCGAGGGTGCCGACGACAGCAGTTTCACCCGGATTCCCCCGGTACTTTTGGAGGATCCACAACGTACACATCTGACTTCGTCTTCCTCACACATGGCCTTTACCTTATCCAACTCCCTTGTACAGTTTCTCTCACCACTACAGCTACAAGGCTTTGCGTCACGGCTTATCGAGTCGTGTGGTGTGCACCACGTGGATGAACTTGCCGCCCGAGTGACATGCGAAGACGACGTTGAGGAGCTTCTTGGATCTCATGCTTCTTTGCAGCAGCGCCGCGACTTATGGAAGGGGGTGTGCAAGTGGAAGAGAACAGCCGGGAAGCGAGTGCGCGAGCCGACAAGAAAAGCGGACAAGACGAAGGCGTTGGTGGGTAGAAAATTTTGTGACGCTGACGTGTTGTCAGAGGTGGTTCCCTGTTCTATGACAGGGCGGTTTATCGATTTGGATAAATGTACACCCTCGCAGTTTATACGTCAGTTTGCTTTTTGCGGCCGTCAAGAAACTGAAACGAACTTGGTAACAGGGCTGTCTGCGGAAAAGGACACAACCAACGCCGTTGAAACTGTGACAAGGGAGGCAGATGGTGCTGCTGCAACAACAGCGATAGCTGCATCGCTGGAGGTGTCTCCGCACTCCTCCTCGTGGACCTCCTCGGTGAATCCATTGGGCAGTACTCCTTTTCGTCCAGAGAAGCGCTATCGTCGTGAGGACTTACCCATATCGGCTCTTACCATGGGGCTTGGGATGGAAACTGCAGGGAGAAATGACTTTGAGGTGGGCGAAACTTGTTGCGAAGGGGATGAACCGCGACGGAATTCGGTTTCCTTGGCAGTGCCCTTGGAAGCAGAGGGCGAGGTTGTTGACATTCGGCAACCAATCGAGGAGTGTTTTGCAGAGTATGAAGTAATGCGAGAGGCGATGTGTGTGGCGCTGAGCAATGCGGTCGAAACCTACAATGAAGGACTTCGAGCGCTTCAGGAAAGACTTCGCGCTTTACTTGCAGCAACGGCGACGAAGAGGCAGCATGGATCGCGTGATGGAGATGCTTTTGCAGCTCTGGAAACGGCGGCCAGGCTTGACGGTGAACCTTCGTTGCGTGTGGAGATGCATCCCGCGGGGCCCCAGCAGACAGGGAAAGTGTCGTTTTATACGCACGCGCCACACCACTCTTCAGAAAGAATGCAATCCGTGAACAAAGGAGATAATTGTTTGAGTGGTAGTGCTGGTGACAATCCGGAGTTTTGCGGGGTTCCAAGACCGTCTGAGGCAAATAACGCGCAACTGCGTCCGTCTTTGATGTGCAACACAACATTTGTTTCCCCTTTCTTTGCCAACATGGGCGACGACGCGCTGCCTAGCCTCAGCGACATGACTTCCCCCAGCAGAGGAAGTTACCGGCGTACAGAAAAGTTGTCGCTAGAGGAATATGAGCGGCGGCGAACGGCAACGTTGCAAAACTGTCCTCATGAGATGTCAAGACTCGCCACAAATGATACTTCGCAGGGTATTCCCGCCGCCTTTTCTCTTGATGAGGAAAGTACGGTGCCGTTCCCTTCCAACATGAGACATGAGAGCATTGCTGGCGTCACTGCTGAGCGCGAAACAGGCAGCGATCGTGAAGATACATTCCCGCCACACTCATCGGCGGCAGCAGCCACGTGCCCTTTGCTTGGAGAGGCCACAGCGGATCTGACACATCAGGAGCCTCTTGAACCATGTGACACATTTTTCCTGGACGATTTTGGTTTGCAAGCCGTTTCCAACGAAGTTGCACATTCGACTCTTAGATGCCCCGCGCAGCCTGAATTTGCAGGTGAGGTGTTTATGAGCGATGCTAACCCATCTTGTACAGCGATGGAGACGCAGGTGATCGATGTGGATGCACTATCTTCGTTGGAGAGTGACACAAACGAGGAACGTTTGATACAAAGACCGCAGGGTGATAATGATGTCATCCCTGTTGATGATTGTAGTGAACAAGTGTCGGCACGTAGCAGTCCCATGGCGTTGCATGGCGGTTCGTCTCAAGAGGAACACATTTGGATGTGTTCACAGCTACCTCGAGAGCGTCAACGGGCTGTGTCGCGAAGCTCTTCCTTATGCCTTGAAGAATTAGGGAATGCCCATATGGATTCTGTTTCCATGTCCATGAGCAATTGTCCCAGAGGTCTGGATTGGACAACCTACGGTGGTATAGCTGCAGATGCACAAGACCTGTTTCCAACGCTTCATCCGAATGCGGATAAAACAGGTCAGATGAGTGGTTCTGAACATAATATGGATGAAGAAGCTACAGTGCTAGTGGTGGGAGAAAGAGATTTTTCACCTCTTCGTTCACTAGCTCCTGAAGGGTTACCACCAATGCCATCAAGGAGTTTGATGAATACGGCTCTGCCGCACCTGCAAGATCCATTGAACGACACAGCGGATGAATTAACAACGGAGGGAGTTATGAACATGGATTATGACACGCTACACCAATGGTGCCTGCGTCTTGGTCTGCGCATCCTCTACGATGAGGCGTACGCTACGGATACTGGGGAGGAGGCGTCGTACGTCGCCACGGGTATGGAAGAGGTGCTTGGGGAGGAGGATAGTCGTGATAATGCCTTAACGCAGGGAGAAAACAGTAATGGATGGTGGTTAGGTGACGGTGGTGTGGGTATTAGTGGGGGCGAGCGCAACCTACTAGACGGTGATCCTTCTTCACGCTCTCCACAAAGGCCGCCAAGGAGCGAAGGAGGTGGTACAACGACTCCATTGCCGTTTACACCGGGGGCTGATACAAACGAATCAGAATGGCGGGGCCTTCAACGTGCAGCCTTGATGGAGCAAATGCGGGAGACACTGCGGCTGTTTATTACACGTCGGCAGTTTATGTTTGAGGTTGTGCCTTTTTTCTTTCACCGTCTTCCGAGGTTTTCTGGTGGAGACGCATACAAGCCCGTGCGAGCCGCGGATTTGGTGAGGAGCCAACTGGCGTTGACCCGTCAAGAGTTAGAGGAGCAGCGTCGGTTGGCGAAAATGAAGGAGACCGAGGAGGTGGCCTGCTGCGTGATCACCAGTCTCGCCGCTGAAGCAGCAGAGAGCATAGAACGGCAGGCGGTGTTTCCTGCGAAAGGCAAAGATGTTTCTACGTGTCAAGGTATAACTCACTTGCCAACCTCCATGCGAAGTCGCTCTCCACAGAGAACATGCGTTCCAGCATGCTTGGATATTCCACTGTATGAGCAACTGTTGCTGATGGAGCCAACAGATGTTCAGGCGGTGACGAGTCTCGTTCAGGCTGACTTTCCGCACGTGTCTCGGCATCGCGTGGAGGCTCTTCTTGAAGAGAGTGGAATCCCACTTGGCGTTCCACGTCGTATGCGCAACACTCAGAGCGATGGCGGTGGGGAGTTGAATGCGACGCAGCGCTCAGCATCATCGTGTTCACCCCCGCCAGACTCACCGATAGTTTCGACGCAAACAGGGCAGACAACGAGCGCTCAAGAAAGTAAGAGACGCTTTTTTGCCCAGAGAGCCTGGGCGCAGCGAAGGAGAAACCGGTAACAAACCCGGTACTGTGTGATTAGAGAATTAAACTCTTTCTCTTTCTCACGTGTCACTAGGGCTGTCATAAAAAATGCTTGTACACAAGGCCTGACACCTCACACTCGTGTTTGCTTGTATGCTTTGTGAACGTTTGTATTATTATTATTATTGTTGTTGGTCTCATTTTTTCTGTGTCTCTTGCTAGGTGTAAGCTTGCGATTGAGCAACAGTAATAGAGAGCAAAAGGAGATCAGACATATGACTGCACGTGCGGGTGACCCTCGTTTGGGGACCCTGTTCTCAGTGCAGCGCGAAGAGGATGCCGACATCATTGTTATTGGATTTCCCTTTGATGAGGGGTGTGTGCGAAACGGGGGACGAGCGGGTGCTGACAAGGGACCCGCGGCGTTTCGGGATTTTATACATCGGCTGGGTTCTGTAAACAATCTCGAGCTTGATGTCGATGCTTGCAATGTAAAATTATACGATGCTGGAGACATCACAGCTAGTACTTTGGAGGAGGCTCATGACAAGTTGGAGAATAAAGTTGCCACGGTGCTTGCCCATGGGGCAGTGCCTTTTGTGATTGGTGGGGGAAACGACCAGTCGGCTCCAAACGGGCGTGCCATGCTGCGAGCATTTGGTGGGGACGTCGGTATTATTAATATCGATGCTCATTTGGATGTTCGACCACGTCTGCCGGATGGAAAGGTTCACAGCGGGTGCCCGTTTCGTCAGTTACTGGAAGATAATAACTTTTCAGGAAAGCGATTCGTGGAGTTTGCCTGTCAAGGGTCACAGTGTGCTGCGTCACACGCACAGTTTGTGAAGGATCATCAGGGCCGCATTATGTGGCTGAGCGAAGTTCACAAGAAGGGTGCTGTGGCGGCGTTGGGGGAGGCTTTTGCCGTGACGGGAAATAACACCTTCTTCTCCTTTGACGTGGACTCCTTGAAATCAAGCGACATGCCTGGGGTGAGCTGCCCGGGTGCCGTTGGCCTAACTGCACAGGAGGCGTTTGACATGTGTTTTTTGGCTGGTAAAACACCGTCGGTGAAGATGATGGACATGAGTGAGCTGAATCCCTTTGTGGAGGCCTATCGCTCACCGCGTGCTGCTGTGTTCTTGTTCTACCACTTCGTACTCGGTTTCGCTACGCGGCCGAAGCTGAAGGTGTAGCGGTAGCAATAAAAGCGGGAGAGGGTGAGTGCCGTCTATTTATTATTATTATTATTTAGTGTGTTGTGTTCGCTCAGCCTCCGTTCCTCGCCTTCTCCCTCAGTGGTGCACACACTGCCGCGTGGCGCCCTGCACTTGAAGCCCTGTTGGTTATGCACACAAATACACACATGCGCCGGCATTGGAAGAGAAACAATGTATGGATATATAGTCTAGACGAGAGAGAAGGAGAGAAGTGAGCGGCTTTGCACGTATTCTATTTGCTTTCCTTTATTATTATTATTATGCTTTGATTCTTCACCTTCATGTGTGCGGCGGGTAGGAACCACGGGAAGGGGGAAGAATTATTGTTGTTAACTCCGAAGGTGGAAGGAGGGGCATAAATAGCCTCAGTGAAAACACAACTCCATAGTTTGAGAAAAAACAAAAACAAAAACAAGGAAATCATTACAAAAAGAAACAGAGGCACACAAGGACAACAATAGCCATAGCAGAGCGAAACAATGTTGACGAAGACAGCTCTGGCGTCGGATGTCTTGGTGCCGCACTCGGTGCTTAACGGCATGTTTGACAATGCTATGTTTCCAATGCGCACGCTCTACTGTCCGCCTGTACCGCCATCTATGTTGGTGGGGCGCTACAGGCCCCCGCCTCGCCCCGGCATAAAGTACCGCAACGATTTGTCGCTCGCAGGCCCACGGGAACATTGGGCGCAGAGTCAAGTATCACGCATGTGGCGTGGTGTCATTACTCGCCGTCGACTTCGCAATGAACGTAACTATTTTCATGTACGCACTAGACGCGCCATCATGATTCAGTGCTGGTGGCGACGTCTGCGCGCCATCTGGCGACGTCGCTCCTTGCAGAGACTTCTGGACGAGTGGGTGTTGAGTCGTGCTAAGTCAATGGTGGAGCAGCGACTTGCTGATTACGGAGTTATGATGACGTGGCAACGCAAGCGTTTTGAGAATGCGGTCACAAAAGTTCAGCGTGTATACCGATGGTACTGCAGTCGGCGAAAGTGTGCCTTTATGGACCCGGAGGAGTCGCCACGTGAGCCATTGCCTTTCCCATTGCGGATCCGCAAGAAGGTGTACTTTCCGTGGCGCCCCCGCGCAGATCCGAATAATATGGCGGAATCCAAAGCAGCAGTGAAAAATCTCGTGCCATCCTCATCCAAGGGCCGTTCCACATCCATTCAGTTCAGGAAGAATCGAAAGGGACCTGAACCACCCACTGTGGAGGAGGCAAAGGTCATTAACGATGCTATGCGAGAACGTGAGGCAAGGCATGCATTAATGCTTTCTCAGCCTGAGGTTCAAGACCGCCTTCAGTGGAAACGTGATGGTCTGCGCTTGAATGACTTTGACCACAATGCGGGAATGATTCAGCGGATGGTAAAGTCAAAGTGGGATGTGTGGAAAAAAACGACGCGAAAGGTGACCTCGGACTACTTCAACGATAGGGTTCGCATCATTCAACGTTCCTTTCGTGTGTTCAAAACCCTCCGACAGATGCGTGAGGCTCACATTGCCGCTGATAATCGTGCGGCACGCAAGAATAAGGCGTACGCGAATGCCAAGTTGGCACAAATTGAAGAAGATATTGTGTGGCAGTTCAATTTATTCAACAACGCGGCACGGACGATACAAATGTACTGGGCACGCTATAAGTTCCAACGCCAGGTGCATAACCCCTTTATGATGCTGGAACAGAGTGAGGCCCCCCCCTCAGGATCACCACCACCGCCGCCGCCGTATAATTTAATCTCGGAACACATCGAACGCGAGAATATCTTGCGCGATGCGGCCAAGTCAAGGATGGAGAGGGAGATGGAGGCAACGAAGAAAAGAATCCGCAAATTATTTAAACGGTATGTACCGCAGTCCGTTGAGATTGTCAGCGGGGAGGGGGTGTTTCTCCCCGCCAGGAATGGCGAGGAGGAGAGCAAAGCAGAATAGTTTTTTTTTTTACCCCCCGGCTGATGTAATATGGAAAAAAACAAAACTGAAAAAACCTGGTCGAGAACGCGAAAAACAACAGAGTACATGTGAGAAAAGACTGCGACACGTGGGGGGGCGGGGGAACACGAAAGAGAGGGTACGTTTTTCCTTTTTCTTTTCGTTTTGGAAGGAGTGCAAGAAGCTTCTTTTTTGGTCACTGTTCGTGTGTGTCGCTTTGTCTGCGCTGTTTTTTTTTAAAAAATTCATTTATCTGTTTGGTTTTTTTGTCCGCATTTGCTCCCCCCCCCGCGCCATTTTTGTGTGCGCGACGGGGCTGGGTGAATGTTTATTGCGGATCTGGCTTGAACTCCTCTTTCTCACGTTATCCCCGACTTTGGATTTGTGGTTCCGCTGTTTTGGTCCCGCGCGCTCACCGTCGTCACCGCAGCAGGGGGCAGTCGAGGAATCATTTGTTTCCATTTATGTAAAGCAATGTTAGTTGACACGCAGTTCTGTATATGTACGCACGGAGATGTATTTCTTATAATGAAGCAGAGGGAGGAGGATTTATGAGGTAAGAAGGTTGAAAGTCTGTGAAGGCACAAATAAGGTTGCAACAAACCGTCCAAACACACACTGGAAGAGGAGCAAAGGAATCGCGTGTTTGACGGTTTGTTTGTCTTCCTTTTTTTTTCTTTGCTTTACTCCTTTAATTGCTTCACTCGCTCCTGGCGACTTCTCTGAAAAGGACATGTATGAGTGTATCCGTTAAGGGACTCGGAGCGTATGCGCCTGCGCCTTTTTCACTTTTCTGTTTCCTCATACACACTGCGTACGTCTTGTTTTTTTTTTTTTGCTGAGGTGGATGAAGGTGTCTGGAGAGTCCCTGCAAGGGCTGGTCTTGGGGTTGGCACCATATTCTCAACGAGGTGGCTTTCCTTTTCCTCCTATTCTCAAATCTTGGTAGTTGTTTTTTGTACTTGCTGCGAGGGTCGCAGGGCTGCGAGGAGATTTCTAGCTAATAAGCAAAAACAACAACACCACAAAATAAGGAACGAATGGTTGTTGCCGGTGGTGGTGTTAGCGATGCTGGTAGGAGGGAAGGACTTAGGCAGATGCAAAACACCCATATACCGGCGACTACTTGGCCAAACAGAAAACAGTCGCAGGAAACTGCGCGACAGGAGGAGTCCACTTATGCGGAAACTGGGGGCTACAAAACACGTATTGGTCACAAACTTTCTCCGTTGAAGCGACACTGTAGGTGCCGGCGGTGGAAGCGCACAGCTTCTTCTGCGACGCGGTCCAACAAGGGTATGGGTTTGATTGGCTCATCTCCGTCAGTTCCCATCACATACAATTCGAAAGAAAGTTCCTTAGCTGGAATAGGCAAACCTGACGAGGGTACATTGCACATATCACAGCCGCTTATTCCCTTCACAGGCAATGAGTGCCGGGAGATTCTTTCTCAGACGGAGGGCGCCCAACTAGGTCCCACGCAGGGAAATTATTCCGTCCTTTTTACTTCCAGGTTTGCCCCACTACAAAGCATCGGCACTATGCGCGAGGTGGAGGCGAATTCGGCAGAGTGTGGCGTGAAAAGTCCGGAGGGAGAAAAGGAAGAGGAAAGCAGCCCATTTGGTCAAGTAATTACGAATGGCTTACTGCGGGAATGGATTGGAGGGGAAGATCCTACTTTGGCATCCAGTGCTGAGTTTCGTCTGAATACAAAGGTTTTAACTGGGGTGGAGACGATGGGCGATAGAATGCCACACCTTCAGTCACTTAAATTGAATAATTCCTATATACCGCAGATTAGACTGCTTGGAACAAAGTTTCTGAGACTGAAACGACTTTGGATTGCTAGTTCTCAGCTGGAATCCCTGAGCGGCATTGGAGTATGTGCCCCTGTTTTAGAAGAGTTGTATGCTCCGTTTAACTCTGTGCATGACGTCATGCCCCTCTTGGATTTGAGTGAGACGCTAGAAGTGGTGGACCTGGAAGGAAATGATATTCGGGATGCTTCTTCATTAATGCATTCCCTTCCACTTCTACGAAATGTAAAATACCTAACCTTGCAGGGAAATCCTGTGGCTATAAGCTCCTTCACATCGCCGTTGTCGAAGTCGGCTGAAGCAAATCCATTCACTACAAGTTCTTTTCGTGACGCTGTGCGATCCCTTATGCCTAACCTTCAGTACTTGGACGACGTTGCCGTTAACCTGACTGCGGACTTGGAGGCCAAGGAGGCTCCTTCTGTTTCTAAGGGCGCCGGAAAAACAGAGCGAACTTCGGTGCATGTTGACCCATTAAACGTGACTCTCTCTGACGAGTATATGTTTCTTCAGCAATGCATACGGGAATGTGGGTTTGACGAGCTGGAGGCGGCTATCGCAGAGGCCACACGAGGCATGTACTCGCGACCACAAACTTCTTGTGGGGAAGCGCGACCTCGGTGCTCCGCCTTGGTGAGCTCACAGAAGTCTCAGCGGCCGCACAGCTCCTCCCACACCATCGGTCGCTCATTGGCGGCCCCCAATTATGGCCTCGGTTCTGCATGTCGACGGCCTCCAGCTGGAGGTGGTGGTGGTCAAATCACTCCAGCACCTCCTGCAGCATCCTTGCGAACGGATCGTGTATTAGTGAATGGTGTCGTTCGTCTTCGCAGTCGACTTCCTCCATTATCAACGGCAACAAAAACAAGTTCTCGCGTTACTAGTGGTAACAGTTGTAGTAACCAGAGCGGTACCAGTACAGGTAGTAGCATCGGCTGTGGTTACAACTCTTCTAGCCTAAATTTTCCGTCTTCCGCTTCAATACAAGCAGAAGTACCCACCAAAGGAACAGGAAAAGAGGAAAATGGACGATTATCGGATGGGAATTCAGGAGTCTCACCCTTGTTGCTTGCAGGTATGGAGGAGAATATTGAGACCCCACTCTTTGATGAAGCCGAAGATGAGTGGGATATGTACAAACAAAACTTGCTTCGCCGCATGGATTTCAGGGGATCCGCTATGCAGCGTTGGTCTAAGTACTTGGGCAGTGAGAGTGCTGTGTATTGCCATGTGGACCATGACAGCACGGACTCGTCAGCCTTTTCACACACTCCTTCTACCCGAATAACATCAGTGAGCAGTGGTACCGGGTTACTTCAGTTTTCCCAGAAGGAGCAGGTGACAGTTGTGCCAGAAGCAACAGAACTTTGTGGTACAATAACCACTAGACAGATACACGATAGCAAGACAGACGAGGCAGAAGAGGATGCTTGGCGCGAGGAACTAGTGCGGTCTGTTGTACGATCACGGGCAAGCACGGCTCGTGTAGCTTCAGACAAGGAGTGCCTGCGAGTTGGCGGTAAACGCACTTCCAAGGCCGGGGAATTGTTGGCAGTTAAGGTTGTGGGGGGTAATGATAAATCGCTTTTTATTGAATAACAGAAAAGGAGAGCGGAGGTACATGTGTATATATAGACACACGTGTATTTGTATCTAGACTACATTTTTTTTTTTTTTGGTGTATCCGAGCACCCATCCTTGTTTTTCTGTGTGTATCATTTATGCGTGTGTGCGCGCACACGTTGACGTGGGATAAAACTGCGCTTGTGTGCAGAAAGGCATGTCACAGACAACCCAGCTGCGGCCGAGCGAGGAGCAGCGAAATATATAAAGGGACTGAGGGCAAGGAGAAATTACAGGGAAAGTGAGATGACGCTTACAGGGGCGTACATTGGCAAGTGTAACACCGGGCGAGGAAGAAAAGAGGCAGAGAATGGAAAGTACTAGACGTAATAAAATGTTTTAAAAAAGAAGGGGTGGGGGGTGGAAAGCCCAGCCACTACACGCTGCATGTAAATAAAATACATGAACGAAATATTGAATTGTGAAAAGTGGACGAATGCATGGAAGACCTGTGCGGGTGTGTGGAAATGATGGGTCACAGATGTTTTTCAGAGCGTACACATCTCTGTTCTTGTGCGGCTATGAAGCTAATTTGCGTATATTCGTTTTTTTTTTTCCCCCTTCTACCATTTTTTTTTGTTTTTTTGCTGTTGTATGGGAGGGATACTTCTGCCTCTCACTCCTTTCTCTCTTCTTTTTTTTTTGTTCTTGTCTGCTGTAGTTCTACATGGTGATGCCTTCATTTATTTTTTCTTTTTGTTGCCGCTGCTGGCTGTTGACTTATTGACACCCGTTGAGCAAAACCACCCACGTTACCGCCCTCTTTTCTATGGCGTGGGACGTGAGCACATTTTTTTTTTTTTTGGGCGTTGATCTGGTAGCACTTTGTCTCTCTTATGCTGCTATTTTTTTTTTTTTCCGCTCTTCCCATTGCAACTGTTTTGCGTCTGCATGAGTAGCTGCACCAGCCTTATCAGGGGATTGGAACAATGGCATTATCGCCTTTCGATGTGAAAGTCGAGGTTGAATTCGAGCGTTCTTGCCCGTTTCGCTTTCTCGTCCAAGATGTGGTTAAAGCAAAGAAATGAAGATCTGTGTTTCTTGGGGCATTCCACCGTGTCACAGCACAGTTCCAGACTGAAACAGAAGCGATATAAACTATGAAAACAACAAACTAAAGGCGCTCCCGCCTCCAACGGATTGCTGCCGCCGTCCATATCGTTGCAGGCGGTGGGCAAACCAGGTTTTGGGTGACCGAGCACGCCACAAAGGAACCGAGCCAGCGGATGACTAAAGTAACGCTCGGCGCCTCCAATCTCCCCAAAGCCAAATTTGTCTCGGTGAGCCGCAAGAGATGCACTCGAAAGGGCGTGCTCCGGCGCCTTCTGACTCAGGCTGCTACGAAACCTCGGCGTGCTTTTGTGCCTGGAGCTTCCCTTGTCGTGAAACATGCCAGCATGGGCGCCGAGTAAGCTGCCTAGCGGCAATGGTAGTGGGACAGCGCAGGCGCCGCATCTCGTACCGAGAAAGCTCTGGAGGCGGGTTCCTCTGCGTCCTTTTCGCGGCTATCATTACTTTGTTTTTTAGGGTGTTGCCGTTGGACGTGAGTAAACAATCCCTGGCGGGGCTTGCGCCGTGTCCCGCATGTCGTACGGAGATGGGAGCGGGGGCGCCCTTGGTGGGGGAGGAGTTTTGGGGCAGCATATGGGGCTGAGCGCAGTGGCCACAGGCTTGTGGAGTGCGTCCTGCAAAGCATATGTCTTTCCACACGGGTTGCCGGGGAGGAGCCCTTCCACGTTCTCTGCCTTTCTGTGTCGGCAAGGGACATATTGATCCTCCAGTGGCACTACGGTTGTCGCCGGGTGCGCATTCCGCGTATACTGTGGGAGCCGCCACAGCGTGCTCTGTTTCCCGCACCTCGAGCGCGCCGCCCCCATATATCGGGGCTCCACCGTAGTGGCGGAGCTCTGTTCTGATTTTTGGATCGGCTGTCAGAAGCGCCTGCCGCTGACTACATGAACCGGGAGCGGATGGATCTTTGCAGTAACTTGTTTCGCCTTCACGCGTCGTACCGTCTTCGCGGCGTGACACACCCGCGCGCAATAGGTCCATTCGGGATGCTCTGGGTCGGCGGTAACACCGAAAGTGAGAATCCCTCTCGGTTGCAGTGCGTTCGGAATGCCGGGCAGGGGACGGTCTGTATGGACTTTGCAAACAGGTATGCGAGTCCAGCTGGAGGTGTATATGTGTTTGAACAGTACGAGCATTGTATTTGATTGAAATTGGGTCTTCAGTACGAGAGATGCTGCCACACGTTGGAACGTGCATCTGTTGGACGGGAAATCTACCTCCTTCGTCCCGGGCCTCCTCAACACGGCGCCACGCAAGGCCCGAGTACCGTCGCTGCAAGCCAACAGCAGGTCAAATGGACTAATTTCTGGATTTTGATTTCCCTCTTTGCGAGGTGCTTAACCCCAGCACCATGTCAAGGCGGCTCACGGCTTTATCAGGGACTGGCCCATACATGCCACATTGAAATATACATATATGTTTGCATGTATGAAGTGCGCATGTACATTTGTCTGTTTTAGAGTACGGTGAATGTGAATTGGGCGCCAAAGATTATTATTATTTTTATTTTTTTGCTGCTCTCCCTCTTCTTGGTTTTAACGATAGGGTTGTGACAACTGCCAGAAGTAACGAGGCTTCTCTGTGTGTGAGTGAGAGAAAGAGAGAGTAAAGGGGGTGGAACAGATTGAGACTAGGAGGGTGATCAAGGAAAATGCCATGTGAGGGTTGTGGACTGTCGGAGGCCGCGATGCAGTGCCCGACGTGCAAGAAGTTGGACCTTCCGCCTAGTTATTTCTGCACGCAGACTTGTTTCAAGGACCACTGGGCCGATCACAAGCCGAAGCACACTCAGTCGGTGCTACCTACGATTCCCACCATGACGGAGGCGGCGTTGAATGCGTTCAACTTTACAGGGAGTTTGCGTCCTGGCAGAATAACACCACGTCGTGCGGTGCCCTCTCACATTTCTCGGCCCGATTACGCGGATCGCAGGGACGGCGTCTCCCCCGCGGAGGAAAAAGAAAGAGGTTCGAAGGTGAAGGTGTACAATCTTCAAAGTCTGCACGACGAAACTAGAGAGACGACGGAGATTCAGCGGGTAAAAACGGTGTGTCGTCTCTCACGCGAAGTGCTTGATATTGCCACAGCGGCTGTGCGTCCGGGCGTGGCGACAGACGAGATTGATCGTATTGTTCATGAGGCCACTATTGAGCGGAACATGTACCCCTCCCCGCTAAATTACTATAACTTTCCCAAGTCCGTGTGCACCTCTATCAATGAGGTGATCTGTCACGGCATCCCTGATTCGCGGGAGCTGCAGGAGGGCGATATCGTGAACATTGACGTCTCAAGTTTCCTTAACGGGTTTCACGGGGATTTGAATGAAACTGTCTTTGTGGGTAAACCAGACTCCGATAGTGTGCGCCTCGTTCATTGCACATATGAATGCTTGTGTGCTGGCATTGGCGTGGTGAAGCCGGAGGCACTGTATAAACACGTGGGCGATGCTATTGAAGCCCGTGCTGTTCAGTATGGATGCTCCGTAGTACGCACATACACAGGTCACGGTGTTGGGCATCTATTTCATACAGCTCCTACAATATGCCACTATGCAAATAACAAGAGCCTTGGAATGATGCGTCCTGGTCATGTTTTTACCATTGAGCCTATGATTAATTTGGGCACTTGGCAGGATGTGACATGGCCAGACAACTGGACAAGTGCTACACGAGACGGAAAGCGCAGTGCACAGTTTGAGCATACGATGGTTGTCACCTACGACGGCGTAGAGCTCCTTACCGACTGGACTGATGGTATTCCCACGTACCAGAAACAACTCGAGGGGTGGAATATACCCCTTCCATTCCCCAGCCATGTTGTAGCGAAGTCAACATGAGGCACCTTATGAGTTGGTCGGTACACACACATACACCGATGCATATATGCATACATATATGACAGATTCTATGGATGGAGGCTCCGTTGGGTATTGTATGCATATCTGAATGTGTGCATGCATGCCTCTGCTGTATTGGTTTTCCTTTTGTGTTATCTATTTCTCGCTTGTATATATGCGTGGAATGCGGAGGAGGGAACAAGGCATGTCAGTGTTGTCAGGACATGGATGTTGGCTGGATATTTTAAAGGAGGGAAGGGCTCCCTGAGAGGAGGGGGCGGCATACGTAAAAGGTTGAGTCACTCTTAACCACAGCAGCTATCAAGAAAGAAATAAAATCCCCCACCCCCACCCAAAAAAAAAAAAAAGAAAGAAAAGAAAAATAAACAGAAGAACGGCCAATAACTCTCCCATGAGACGAAGTGGGGTACCGTACTCGTGTTTGTGTTTGTGCAACGCAGATGCGTAGTCGCTTCCCTGCCCTGTAAAAGGCAATGGTGTTGATCATTTCAAAATGTTTGCCCTTTTTGTTTTTGTTTTGATTTTATTTTTTGGATTTGCGTGAATAACAACAATGAACGAAAACGTACATGTGTTCAGGTGTGTCCACAGGCGAGAGTCACATTGGGGACGGTAGATAATCCCTCGTGCTGTAGGCAGTCGGGGGTGCGAAACTGGACAATTGGCAGGGGGAGAAGTAGGAAACAGAGGAATACACACAAAAAAAAAAGAGGCAATACGAAGAAGGAAAAAAAAAGGACTGGAAACGTAAAACGTTGAAGTGCATTCAGCTAAAACGGGGAGGTATGCAGCGTGAAATCATCAAGTGGCTTCAGTCGCTTGACCTATCTTATCAGGTCCGACACCCACGGCAGGACCTTTCGAACGGTTTCACGCTTGCCGAGATTGCCAGTCGTTATGACCGACGTATTGCGATGCACAGCTACGTGCCTGGGTGTTCCACGGAGTGCAAGCGACGCAATTGGAAAGTACTGCTGGGGGAATTGAAGCGGCTTGGTTGCACCAGTGTGACGGCAGAGATGGCGGAGGCAACCATTCAAGGGAAGCCGGATGTGGCCCTGATGGTGCTGGACTGTTTTTATGAGTTCTTCTGTAATCGACCGGCGCCACCGCGTCTGACGGAGAGGAATGAAAAGAACAAGATGCTACTTTTGAGAGCAATAGACGCCGCACGTGCTGCCACAACTCATTCGGTGGCGACAACTCTGGAGCCTAAACCTATATCGTTGCAATTTATAGAAAACGATGAAATTACGCTTGGTAAAGGGATACAACAGCCCGGGTTTGCACGGCCGACGGCAGCTTCGCTCTTACATGTAACCAATAGTGATGCACGGAATGCGGTACTCGTCGCTGCTGTTCCTGCGGATGAGCTGCGGATTCTGAAGTGTAATGAGAAATTGTTGAGCGAGCACAAGATGCTTCATAAGGCATACCGGTTCGCGGAACCTCAACGCTTTGCCCCGGTAAACCACAAACGACTTGCGACGCTTGAAAAAAAAGCTGGAAAGGCTGGAACAAGCGTCAAAGGGTCCCCGTGTGACCATGGAGTCTCTGCGGACCGGGTGTCTGTGGTAGAGTTGAATATGTTGAACAAACAGCTTCTGAGTGCGCTGCAGCAGCGGGAAGCTTATGACACTAATAATGTAACAGACTCCAGTGAGGAATCGCGGAATGCGGCGGTTGTAAAACTGCTTGATGCATGTGGAAATAATCTTCGTTTAGGGTTCTCAAAGATGCTGGGCGCGACACTAGAGTCCAATGGTTTCACGGAATTTCTTGCTGAACTAAACACTGGGAATGAGGAAGAAGACCTTTTGAGCTTTTTTGTGGGTCGTCGTGAGGAGATGCCCTTTTCGGCCGTTGTGGCGTGTTGGTCGACCTTGTTAAACGCAAGCAATGGTATTGTATCAACCTTGTGCATACGTCCAACGGAGTACATGTATATTTTACGGGCCTTACGCTTTATCTTTACTCCCGACACAGTGCGTACTCCACTGCTGCATGTATCAGCGTCGCCGGAAGTGCGCGTATCGCAGAAGGGAAGCTCCGATGCGGGCTCTACTCTGACGCATGATGTTTGCCCCTTCACACACAGCATGAGCGTGCCGGATACCTTCCACCCAGTGACAGAAGAGACGCATGCACCGCAGCAGATCGTATTATCAAATGAACGGGTTTTCAATGTTACATCGGCGTTTTTGTGGCTTTGCAGCATTGGAGAGGCCGTAAATGCCGTATCACCACAGCTAGCGTGTTCACTATTGATGAACTATTTTGTTCCCACTGCGTCTCGATTTTTTTGTGCTTCAAGTGTGGCAATTTTAGAAGCGCTAGCGCGTGTTGTTGTGGCGCATATTTGCGGTGATAGTGCTGCACGCGAGAAGAGGAAATCCGTGGTAACTCCAGATGAAGATAGGGAACAACCGCAGCTGCAGCCGTCAGAGAAAGTCGAGTGGAACGCAGCGCTGCAATTGACGTCGCTCCTAGCAGGACCTCTAAAAACAGCTTTTGTTGGGCGTGAATCCGCAAACTCGCGAAATTCCGTATCTAAAGAGACGCAATACAAGCTGTTTTTGTTTCATGTGCTACGCCTTGCACGGGTTCCGCTGAATACGAATGACATTGAACATGAGGTGCCAACAGCTGCAAAGGCAGAGGTTCAGCACGACGCGGCAATAACGTTGAAGGCGTTGGTGGCTTCCGTGTCCCCCGTTGCTTCTCCTTCAACACCAGTGGAATTGTGTGCGGGTGGGGTTCTTGCCTCTCTTGGGTCCTCCTCCATGCAGCAGCGCTCTATTGGATTGGCGATGCTGATACAATTTCTCGCATGGGATCGGTGGGATTTGGCCATGGATCCACTGCTGCTTGTCCTGAACGACGTGAAGCAACGGGGCACCTTTGGAGGTTTTCTTCAACGTGCTGCGGAGGCGTGGGAAATGCGGCTGTTGCTATTAGAGCTTCTTACTATCACCTTCCGCAAGATCTTGTATGTTTTTGCAGAGGCGTCGGAGACGATGGATCATGCGGAGTTGAAGGCCCCAGCCTCCACCAATGAGGAGAGGAGGCTATCTGTGGCGGATGCCATTAGACAGAAAATTCACCTTACTGACGTGGAAGAGGCGACTGTGTTGTGCCTAGAAATCTTTTTTGAGGCTCCCCTGCTGCAACGACATTTAGCGTTGCAGATTGTGGGCGCTCGACTTCTTCCGGATGAGCAGCGTAATGTCGCCGCCATGTGGGTGCGTGGACTGTTCCTATTTTCCGTGGAACAGTTGGAGTTTATGCTTCGACCACACGAGGCGGAACCGCTCCACCTGCAGGATTCCACGTTTTTATCCCAGCATCGTGTACATGGCGTCCCCTTACGACTTCCTGGCGTTCCCGCAATCGGATTGGATGAGGAAGGCGAAGCTGGCTTCCCGTCTTCACCGCCGCACCAGTTGAGATCTGTAGAATCTCTCAAAGAGGCCGTCTCCTCTGTGCATGTTTTGCTCGGACGTGTGGAACCTGCCTACATTGTCTCTCCGCTCAACCAATCGTGGGATACGTTCAGTGTTGTGCAGGCTACGCTAATGTTTGAGGATATTTTGACCAGCACACAGGTTTTTTCTGTCGTCCTGGCCGCGATTTTGAGCCCTCAACGACGTGAGGCACAACGTCTGAGGCTCCTGCGGAACCTTCGCGCCGTTAGCGGCGGCGCATCCTCAGCGACGACAAGCACAACAGAACATGTCGGAGACGAGGGAAAGGCGCCCCCAGATGCAGTCGATGTGGAGGGGGATGCGGGGGAGTCTGCATTGAACGTCACATTAAAAAGTTTGGTGGCAACCTACGACCAGAAGAGCACGGTGGGTAAAGAGATGGAGAGGGGAGTGGAGACGGCTCGAGAGGATGCTGCTGGAACACTGGCGGTGAGTGACACCAACGTGATTGCCGCGGTGGCGAGTGGAGCGGGGGACGAAGTCTCCGATGTGGCAGAGAATGAGGAGACAAAGAGAGAGATAAGAGAGGAGGAAGAAGAAGAGGTCGACCCAGCGACTCTTCTGGAGCGTCATGAAAAGGCATTTTGGATTTCGGTGCTGAGGTTGTTAAGAGCACAGTTGCAGCAGTGCCTAACGAGGAGGCTGTCGTTGGAGGAGCAACGGAAAAAAAAGAGGCAGTTGTTGGGAACAACACCGAATATGGATCCATTGGCCTCTGTCTGCCGCATTACGCGGACCGACTCCGCAGCGCGACTGAAGGAACTGGCTACAGGTGTACTTCTTACCCTCTACCACCGCTATGGTGGTGCTGCGGCTGAGGCGATGTCTAAAGAGACGTGTCTGCTCGAGGCGTGCCAGTGGCTTGATAAGGTGTAGAGACGGACGCATGCGAAGGTCGCCTAGCCGCACAGCTATAGGTTATCATGTGGTTATATGTCTATTTTTCATTTTCTTTATTATTTATTTCGATGCATGTACAAATCACTACAAGTGCTGGGGACGAGGGAAGCACTTGCGTCCCTTACTAAGGGAAGAAAGTTTTTTTTTTTGCTTTTATTTGCTCTCTACATTGACGCTACAGGGCGGTGAAACTTTTCTTGCTACTTGCTTTGTGTTTTGTTTATCAAGTAGAACAAACCTACCTTTGCGTTTCTTATTATTTGCTCTTTTCTTTGGGTTATGTTGGACCGCGAAATACTTTTGGAGGGAATGAGCGAGGGAGTGGTACCGGAAAACGAAAGCAAAAGCGAAAAACGACTCAGGGAAGCGATGAAAACGCCGGCGCCATACGTACACACACACACACACACAAGGAACACCGGTTTAAGACAAGAAGGGTGGGGGTGGGGGGGGGGGAGTGACTGACGTGAAACTCTGGGAGGATGTCGTGAATGGAAAATAAGGAGGAATAAACGGGGTGGGGGGTGGGGGATCCATATTGTCATAGTACGCGGATAATGACAGAACATGAGGCCTTCCGCGGGTTGTGGCATCCACGTCGTGCTGGCCTGTGTATGTCTTCTGACTCTCACATTTGCTGTGACGCAGGTAGATGCTCTTACGGTAAGCTGCGAGGAGCTGTGGACAGGGCCAATTGCCACAAAACGATGTGGTGATCTGTCTCTCCAATAGACAAGGCATTAAGGACTATTGGAGGTATCATGTTTATTTTGGCGTTGCGGCACTTTTTTTTTGTTATAGTGCTGCTCATTATTCTCCCAGTTTTCTACTGCATCTGCATATGCAACGATAGCTGCTGCCGCAGTTGCTGCTTTCCAACGAGTGCGGCACTACATTATAATGGTCCGTATTGCTTGTCCTTTTCCGCCTTTATTGCCATCCTTTGGGGCCACCGGAGCGACGGTGGCTATTATTCTGGGCGCGCACACCGTGCACGTCGGCACAAGGAGTGCCGTCAACAATGACAAGCACATGACCACGCTTTACTATAACAACACAGCGAATCGGGGTATTCAGTATATGATTGTTGGTGGCGTCGTTGCGCCTTCCATTTCTAACAACATCCATGACATTTTCGACATTTACGACAGAGTGAACACCGACCTTGAAGACTTTGATATAAAGTGCCTGACATATTTGGATGATGCCATCATCTTCTACTGTCTTGGTTGAATGCCGTTTGTTTTTTTAGTTTACTTTTATTTTTGGTTTGTGTCGCATCGCACGCTGCTTCCCAGCGTGTTTTTCCTGCATGTATTATCGTGTTGGACGTGTCATTGCGCTGTTGGATGTTGTTTTTTTTTGTCGCGGCGTACTTGAGCAGTGCGTTTACTGGCGAGGTGTGTCGTCAGGTGGCGCGGGGGGCTGGAATCCTGCAGTGGCACGCCGTGCCGTACTTTGAAACGCACTTTAGATCCCAGCTTGACACCCTTGACAGAAGCATTGCCGACGTGGCCACGCCCCGTGTAAAGGGTGCGTGCACTTCGGTTGATGACTACTGCGATAACAACCGTGATTTTTCTATTGCGAAGGCTTTTTTTTTTTGCTCGGTTGCCGTCACTTGTACCGCTTTTAAAGAGTTGGTGGAGCAGGTGTCGACGCTGCTGGTGAAGCGGCCCGGTTTCTGTACGCCAAGCCTGTCTGCTTCCCCAGGCGTTTTTTTTTTTTTGCACCAGTGCCTTCTGTAGGACGGAGGGATCTGACATTTCTGCGGCCCGTGGCGGCGACGGCGTGGAGGTTATGCACAAAGTGGAAAGCTTTAATAATGAGATGATTGCGATGAATTTTGTGATTCCAATGAAGGATCCTGACATGATCACTGACACGTTGTTGCTGTCGATGGGAGCCTTTCGCAGAAATTTGCGAGGGATTCTGGATGGCTGGAGCAGGGTACTTCATCTGTATTTCCGTGCTTGACATCTACTCAATGCTGCGCGGTAGAGTTGCCTGGGCGAATACGTGGAGCTGCAGAAGGATTTCTGAAGGGAAAGTTTCTCCGGAAACACGTGGGCCGCGCACACACGCACGCACTAGGAGGATGGGGCGGAACGAGGAAGAGAGGAAAAGCATCCCTTCCCCGGTTGTGGTTTTGTTTCTATGCGATGGAATTCACGCCTTTATATTTGAGGCGAGACAACATCTTGACGTGTAAAGCGTGTTTTTTTTTCTGCGTATTTGCCTGCGCACGGTGTGGCACACACAGAAGGTGGGCCGCAACAACAGTGAGGGAGGAAAGCGTATTTACTTCCGCACGCAAATCTCGGCGCTTTGAGGGAGCAGGTGTATTCTTCTCTCGTGTTACTACGTTATTTAAAGGGCACATGTAGGTTCACGCGTGTGGGAATTAGCGTTGACATGTAACTCGTGCTTCACCTACCCGGGAAACAGAATTGAGGGCGAAAAGGGCAAAAGGAAAACCATAAAAATGTGTATGACTGATTTTTTATTTTATTTTATCACATTGTCGTTTAAGTTTACCAGTGAGGGGGAGATTGAGGGAGCTGGACGCCGTGAAAAAAGTGATGAACAAAGGCAGTGAGGACTGAATATAACGAAGCAAAAGCGAAAATTTTAAAATGAACGGGGACGGTGGGAGGGGGGAGGACGCGGGGTATTACGGCGCGGTCTGAAAATTGCAGCTGTTAAGGAGTAACTGTGAACACGAAGGTAATTTTGTGTTGTGAGTGGAGTAGAGGTTTAACACTGTTTTGTATACGAAGCAAAGGTGATCGTGATATATATATTCTTTTGAGTGGTTCTTTCCTTATATGCCTATGTGCCAGCATTACAATGGGATGGAGGTTGGAGGGTGAAGCCACCAGCCGTTTGTGCTATCGGCATATGTAATCTTCTTCCTGATGACTAACTTATCTTCAGCCCTTTTGAGTTGTTATCGTTGATGCTGCTGCTGCATCATATCGGCTGTTGTCTTTGCCTTCGCCGTTGCATGTGATTGTCCCCACTGATCTGGGTGACTCTAACAGGCAAGTCTCTAGGCGCATTTATCATTATAGTTGTTTGCCCTCTTTTTTATTTTGTTTTTGGTTGTGATTTAATCGTGAAGTGCAAAATCAGAGTTAGAAGAAGGAGTGCCCCAAGGCAACGAACGTCAAATGGATTTTGATGATCCTTCCAGTTCTGAAGGGGGTAATGTTGGGTCTCTCTCGCCAGTGCTGACTGCCAACGGAATGCCGCCGCCAGCGACTGCTGCTGACGCAGAGATGATGCCTTCGCGGACGCCATTGGGGCCTGTCGTGTTACCTCTTCCCAGGTCGAGGAACTACCGCAGTGGCCATGACGTTCAGTCCTTTGTATTTGATGACGACAACGATGATATTGACAACGACGACGGTGATGGGAATGAAGTGTTGGGATGTGGCCCGCAACCTGCCACGCATACTGCTTGTGAGGAGCCGATGCATCACCAGCTTTTTGATGTAGGTGAGGACTTGCGTCCCGCGGCACGTCATGGGTGCGATGCAGCGGGGAACATGGGTCGCCTTGGCCACCTCACGGAGGAGACATATGTTCACGAATCGTCAGAGAAGGAGGAAGCCTCAGAGGAAGAGGAAAAAGAAGTAGTCGAGGAGAAGGAATCGGCGAAAGACATTGTGACGAGTGACACTGGAGAGCTTGGATTCATTGAAGATGACAGGGAGTGGGACAGTGTGCTTGCACCGATGACATTGGTTGACAAGACGCTTTTGAGCTGTTTTTACGCCGGCGCATGCACCGATCACGAGGATAGCGAAGTGGAGTTGGAGAAGCCTGTCAGTATTACCGAAACGATGGTGAAGGTTATCTCACTCTTCTACTCAGAAACAGCTAGACCGTTTCGCGATGAGGCGGTGGAGCTGCCTCAAATGGCTCTCGATACACTGCGTCGTCTGGCATCGCACATGCAAAACATGCAGCGCATTCTCACAGAGGCCGGCTTGACGATTGATAGCCAGCTTGAATTACAATTTCAAGCGAACAGCGAAGAGGAATTTGAAAATGACACAGCGGCGAGTCAAAGTGGAGTGGATCTTCGAAAAGTGGTTTGTCGTGGAGTGCATTCAGTACATGTGGACTCCGCATGCCGTTTGATAGGGGTAATTGATATTGATGTATGCGCTGTGAGTCTCTCGGATGCGATTGCCTTCAGCAGTCTCCCTTTCTCACAATCAGAGCTAGTGGCAATTATAAAGTCCATCGTTCAGAAGGTCGGTGTCTTACATAATGCTGGACTTGTCCATGGATGCCTTCACAGTGGCAATATTCTCTGCTGCAGCGATGACGGGCGAACAGTGTTGACAGGGGCATGTGGTATTATGAGTAATCCGTTGCTTCCAGCCGATGCTTCATTTATTTCCCCACGTCTCGCAAGCGCCCTCCAACCATTCGTACAACTTGTTTGGAAACATGGTGGAGAGGTGCATGAAAATAATACACTTCCATGGGCGTCGGATCCGCTCTTTCATTGCGCTGTACTTGAGCGCTATGGGTGTACAAGGAATACCGAGATGCGCGCGCAAGTGTCAGATGACATTTATGCGATTGGCATTTTGGCGGTCTCTTGTTTGCTTGGCGTCCCACCGTTTCATTCCGCCACGTTGAAGGAAGTTGTTGAAACGCTGGCGCCGCACTACCATGATGGTCATGATGACAGTGCAGCCACTTTGCTTGGCAACGTGCTCGCAAGCGACTACGCCGTGCAGCGCTTTCAACTTGCAGGTTACACGGATGAATTTATTTCGACCGCCAAAGATTTTGTAAACACGTGTCTGCGCGCCGCCTCGAGCCCCGCCACAGCATCATCACAGATTGTGGCAACTGATTTACTGACACATTCTTTTTTTGCTGGGTTCTCCACCTCCTTAAACCCCACAAGGAACAGTGAGGAGGTCTCCATGTGTGATGAAGAAATGGACGAAGCGGCGCGGATGGACCGGACGATGCACTGTCTGATGTACCCCATTTTTATGGTCATTGAGTGTGCCAAGAAGAACTGCGGCACCACGCCGTTATTGTCGCGTTTGCTACGGAACTCCATTTTTGCTTCTCGCTGGGATGCCCTTCGGCGTTTTCAATTACATTTGCGTGAGGATGAAGCGGTGTGTGGCAATGACCCTACCCATGTTCTCTGGCCTTACTTGGGCTCCCAGAAGTTTTCGCGCTGGGACGAGAGCAATCTGCAGAAAAGCTTTAAGGAGCTCAAGGACAACCAAAACGAAGAAACTGCGGTAAGGTCTTTCTTGTACCAATCGTTGGTTGATCCTTGTGTACAGGTTTCTCAAAAAACAGCAGTTTGTAATGTGGCGATGTTGGCGAGCGTTGTAAAGTCCAAAGGTCTGCATGTAGATACAGAGGCGCATGCGCTAGTCTTCAGTAAAAAAACTGACGATCATCTCGTGCTTTATAGAGATGAGGTACCTACGGGGTATGGATCGTCTGTGGACACGCTTATTCTTTACGATTTAGAGAACTGCGTTGTGGAGATTTTGCTGAATTTTCGTTTTGTGGTACTTTTTAATCTGCGACGTTGCAAGCTTTTTCTTGGACCATGCTACTACCTCTACTGTGGAAAGGTCTCAGACTGTACCCCTGTCTTCGTGGCAAGCTCACATCTGTTAATGCAGGACGTCACCGGTGTTGAGTTTTACTCTGGCGGATGTTCACTTCCGCATAGCTCCAGTAATTTGCTGACAAGAAATAATGTTACCGTATTACCGTACACAATGGCGTATGCTGGGCTGACTGCCGATTTTGCGGCAGTTTCGCTCCCCCAAAAACACGTCTCTACCATGATACTTGGGGCGGATGTTATTGACTCAGCACCGTTTGCTTCACGGACATTCAAATTATGTAACATTCTACGAGGCGGGTTTGACTACCCCTACTCTCATGCATTGGTAGCCTTTGGTACTCTCATTCTTCACGAAAATGATTGTCTTAGTGACATGTTTTTGTTTTTCTCAGAGGCTGCAGGCAAGGCTGTCCGAATTGCACATGTTCACGGTGGTCATGACACCACTTCTGTCACGGTGTCATCACACCTCTCGTCACAGCACTCCGGACATGCGGAAAACGTGGGAATTGAGGCGAGTGATATCGCCGCAGAGAGAAATGGTTCCAACTGTCCTATCATATTTATCATGGATGCTGTCGGGGATTGCATCATAGAAGACTGTTCGCACTGTACGGTGTTTATTGTGGGTTCCTCAGGGAGTGTCTCCGTAAGGCACTGCTCGGAGTTGTGTCTCTTCCTTATGGCGAAGGAAGTCTTGTTTGAATACTGTGATCACGTGGAGGCATACTTGTTTGTGACGGAGTCTCTCCTTATGGATCATTGTTATCAGATGGATCTATTTCCGCTGGTATTGGAGGCGCCGCGTCAGGAGGAAATTATTGTCTCCATCATTGATAGATGCAGCGACGAGGCTCTCCAGCAGCATCTTGAACAGGCGCTGCATCAGAAGGATGAATGTGCGTTGAATGTGCTTCGACGTTTTGAGGGCGGCACCGACACGATTGACATGGAGGAGTGCGTAGATGTGCGCATAGACAGTTACTGCGAGCAGGTGATACTGGTGGACTTTGCGCCCACCGGTGTGCCGCCCTCAAGGTTTTTTGACGCGGCCTCTCATGGTTCACGCCGTGAGAAGCATTGGGTTGTGGTGCCATTTTTGCAGAAGGCGTGGAAGGGAGATGAATTCCCTACACGTGGTCGCGAACTACCGCCTATGCGTCTACACGACCTTGTCAATGCGTCTATTCTTCGTCTTCCTGGATCCCTGAACCTTCGCGCAGCTCGTGACAAGGCCTGCCCGTTGGTGGATGTCGTTCTGGAGTGTCTCTCGTATGGGGTGGTGCACCTTGTCGAGGCGGTAAAGACGCTCTTTATTCGTAGGTGCAAGGGCCCTTTAGACATCGTTGTGTGCGCAGCGAATCGTGTAGTTATGGAATCATGTGAGCACGTCACTCTTCAAACTGCCTGCGGCGCCTTCATTGCCAGGAACTGTCACGTTTGTCACACCGCACTACATGTAAACACCCCACCACAGTATGAAAACTGTACATTTATGCTGGCATCAACGCTAAACATCACCTCGAAGGACTTTGAGAGTTACCTGATGCGTGCCGGTGTGGAGGTGGATTTGAACCTTTTTGATAGTCCCGCGGCGCGCTCCTCGAATCCCGAATGGGACGCGCTTACTTTTGAACAGCTGTCGTCGAGTTCTGTCAATTCGGTGGAGAGGGCACGTTCTATACTTCACAGTCCTGTTACCCTCGTTCAGCCGCTGCCAGCCACGTGCCTTGGAGTCGAGGATGCATCGTTTCTTGATGTCTTGGAGGACCGTGTGAACCACGAATCAGCGACAAGGCCGGACTATGACAGGAACATCGTTGCAGCCTTGTCTTTTCTTTCAAGACGGCAATTGGCACAGGCTTCAGCGGCGAGTGAGTCGTTGAAAAGTGTGACGCGAGAGGCGATGCGTTTTGCCCGCTCACCCTCCCCGCAACCCACAATGCCGTCGACAGAGCAAGTGCAGGAGCATCACTTTGATCCTTTTGTTGGGTGCAGTGTGGAGGAGGTAATGCAGGAGCCTTCTGAGGCTGTGGAGGAGTCTTCACCGCTATCCGTTCCAACGCCGACGAGTGAGCTGCACCAGTCCCCCGCATCCAACCCGGACCTTATCAAGACTAATACTGGTTATCAAGACAACGACTTTCGAAGTGGTGGGAGCTGCAGTGGGAGCAAAGGTGGTGAGGCGCACAATGACGCGGACGCCCACAGCGGTGATGACACGGCTGAGGTTGTGGCTAATGTCGTTGCTGCTTCTCATGATGACCACGCTGCCGACGATGAGGATAATTCCACCACGGTTCGAAAATGGAGTCAGCCGCGTGCAAATAAAATGAGTGCTGATCGTCAATGCTCTACTGAAGCAAAGAGAGTGAGTTGCGAACCCTCTTCGCCTTCAGGCACCTTTGTAGATGGTCAAGTGAGTGATGACAAGGAAGAGAACGCTGTGGATCTCGTTCCGTACCGCTCTTTACCTGAGGAGGCATCCCTTGTCGACGATCGCATGAGTGCGACCGATGCTGTGGCCTTGACGCTTCGTCACAAGGGCGACGAGAGCGCGGGTGAGGGGTCCCCTTTGGCAGTTCCCCCCGCACACAGAAGAAAGGGTAGTGGGGATGCACTGTTAACGCACTCACCCCCGTGCCAGACATTGTCGGTAGAGGACAAAAACGATGAGGACAGGAAAGGCGGAAGCGACAAGAATGAGGAGTCCACGAGCACACCGCAGCAGGGCGTATTGGGGGGTACTCCTTCATTGCAGGATTTTATTCTTCAGGTTCACCCCAATGAAGAAGAGGCGGTACGCTCCGCCCTCGCCATGGTGGCTTCCAGTAGGGAAGCCTCTGCGTCTGCACGACGGGTAATTGGCTCCTCGACGAAGGAACTTCAACGACGGGTGGCTGAGGCCTTAAAGCGACTTCAGAAGCCCTTGTCGTGAGCGTCTCTGCTGAGGTCACAGAAGAGTTTTCAAGGCAAAGAACTCTCACTCTCCTAACCCCCCCCCCACACA